TCATCTAAACCGTATCATTTGGAGACAAGCCAGCAGGGACCATCGCCACCGTTGACACTCGAAAAAAAGCAGAAGCCGAAAGACAGCAGATTTCAGGCAAGCAACCTACCCGGAAGCAGCCACCGTCTTGAAGATTAACAGTTATATGGATGATATTCTTGATAGCGTGAGCACCAGAGAATGCCTGTTGAATGACAAAAGAGGTATTATCCGGTGAGAATGGAGTAGGTGGATATGGAGAAGACATTTACTTGGAGGAATTGGCATACACGGAAAAGCTTCTTGGAATTTCCTGGGTTCCAGGTGAGGACTGCTTTCACTTTGAAGAGAAACTGAACTTTTTCCCCATGAAGAGAAAAATGCAAACTGGACCAAGCCTTCAAGAAGAACAGATTCCAAGAAAAGTTCCTACTGACCTCACTAAGCGAGTGATTCTATCAAAAGTGAACAGTATTTATGATCCCATGGGATAGGCTGGATCATTCAAGGATCATGATGCGTAAACTTTGGGGGAGCGGGATGAAGCTTGATTGGGATAACCTTGTTCCAAAGGAGTCGGGGCAAGGTTGGACAGAGTTCTTCGAATATCTTTTCCACATGGAAAAGGCAAAGTTCAAGAGATGTATGAAGCCAAGTGAAGCAATCAGTTCCGACCCCGCTCTGTTTATCTTTAGTGATGGATCGCAAGACGCATACCGGGCATGCTCTTATGCTAGATGGGAGTGTAACGATGGAAAATACCGAAGTTGTCTAGTAACATCTACGAATCGTCTTTCCCCAATAAAGAAGATCTCCAATGATTGAGTAGAGTTATATTCAGCTGTTCTAAACAAATGGTTAAAAGCATTGATCGAGGAAAAGTCGAGATATTAGTTCAGCGAGTATTAAAAAATCGTCGATCCCCAAATTGTACTCGTAATAATACGGAAAGAAACGTATAGTTTCAATGCATTCGCAGCCACGCACATAGGGGAAATTCAAGAAAAAACAACATCTAACGAATGGGTAGTAAAGCAAACCTTCAATGGAACAGAACTCCTAGAGAGAATTTGGTGTTGTAAATTATAATTACGACAAAGACGCAGCCGTTAACATCCCAGCAGCTGAAAACGACTTCACACGTTACTCTTCGTACAACAAACTGATGAGAGTTACCGCAAGAGACATTGCTACGGCCTCCGGAGAACGACAACCAAGTTAGGCGCTCACGTCTGTTCGCGGAACACACCCAAAACCGAAGTCATCAATGTGTCGCAGCTATTACGAGTAAAGTGCGGTTGCGATTCTCGATCCCGAAACTTCAATCAAGTCAATTAAATTCAAATACGTGGCATGTAAGAAGATGGATAAGACCCTGTCTTGTCAGATTATGGGAAAACTACCAGAAGATTGTCTTAACTTGCACGACTGTGGTCCTCTACTGCAATAGACCTATTCGGACACTTCAAGATTCGAGACGAAGTAAAGAAGAGAACCATTGGGAAAGCCTTCAAAGTAATATTTAATTGTCTGGAAACATGAGCTGTTCATGTTGATTTTTAACCAGATTATAGCAATTAGCAACTAACAATTAACAGCCGGTTGGTGGTAATTTTACCTGGGGACGACCAGGACAAGCGATAAAATAAGAGTTAAGAAATCACGGATAGCAACACGGAAACTCATAATTAAGCTTGTAGAGTTTGTTGAGCTTTAGAAGACTGTCTTTTACTCGTTAGTATTTCTAGAGAACGCAGAGCAACGTTTTGCTGAGGATCCGATCGTTTCCGATTATTGACTTCCAAGCGATGGTATTTTGTAGTTTTTAGCGCCATTTTTTAGGCTATTCAGTTATATGAAAGTGTTGTGATTGTGTGTAGTATGTAGCAGATTATCGTTTTTGTAGCTGCTTTATTGAAGATATCACCGTGTAATTATTTGTTTTAGACTGTAGTTAATCCACGCAATGTTTGTACTTTATGAAACCTTCATTTTTTTATATATATATGTAGATTTGTATTATACTGAGATTGGGAAACTATTAAATATATCATTAATGAAAATCAGTGTTTCTGACACGGCGGTATAGTAAAGAACGGTCGGCAAAACACTAACCAACTAAAGTCGAGTAGCCCGCCTGACGACTTTATCCCGCTATGTAAATTTCGAGTTATTTTAATTATTCACTTGTTTAGAAATTTCATTGTAGGTGTATCGTTTTCACAGTCAATGAACACCAACTACACATCAATCAAAGAAAGTTCAAAGCATGAATTAATAATATTTCTATTGCATTTTGGTTAGTGAAAATGCGTATATTAGTAATGCACTTAGTTTAATTCATCCACATGCAACATTAATTGTTGTATGTTTTTTTTATTCAGTTCCGATCGGACGAAATCCTCCAGATATCGAGGGGCTTGAAATGAAGCAATGGGTAAACTCAACAAAAACAGTTTTGACTTGGGATCAAAATGCCATCAACGCGACCCACATTGATATTGAAATATCCCATTTTGACACATTTGACTTCCATCTTCACCATGGGAGCTTGAAAATATTTAAGAAGGTTCCAAACTCTGGCAGTTACGCGTTTGATTTCAGCGAGAAAAGTCTTTCTATGAATGATAGGTGGGCCCCCTTAAGTTATTTTCGTTCAGAGAATGTAATTTATATGAACACAATTACAATTTATTAGAATAAACGGTTTCCAACTTATGTCGAAAACACATGCACTGGCTCGGGTGTTCACACTATCGCTTATTATATTAGTTTTTGCAACTTGTCACAATGCTGCAAAATTTAATCAAGGGTATTTTCTTGTAGAGGGAGACGAAAACGAAGAAATACAAATAAGGGATCCGACATTGCAATCGTCAGCATAAAACCCTCGTTAGTGAGAAAGAAACGATTCATAGGAAAAATTTTTAAGTTTGTTTCACGAATCTTTAGCTCCCCTTTCCTTCGTAAAGTGAAGTATATTTTGAAGGGGGCTGGTGAAGTCTACTGCAGAATTTGGCATGCATTTCAAAACAGGGATGAAAATAAAATATTGCAAGGTATGAAAAATATAATTATCTGGTCATAGTTCCATATTTTTACCTTTATCAAGCAATTGTTTCTCACTTAAGATTATTGTTGAGTGCATTGGTTTGAGCCGTTAGAATAAGCGATTTCATATGGAAGCGAATACAATAAAAATAAAGAACAGTTCAATGAAAAATGAGTCAATTACAGGTTCCTCCGAAACTATGAAACTGGTGCAGGTGCTTATATTAGTCTTGTCGTGCCAAGGAATTAAGTGCACTGGAAACATTAAACGTTGGCTTAATTTTCAATAACTTTACGCCATATTTTGTTGCCTCCATTGTTTCTACACAAATGGAATAGAAATTCTTATTAAAAATTTTGAGGAATATTATTTTCAAAAGCTATATTCACTGCCTGAGCAGCAACTAGTGCCTCATAACAAACCTCTAGGCAAGCTTAAAAATTTTCAACACTGAAATTATGCTAAAGATACATGTAGTCCACTTAATATTTACATTATTAAACTTTTAGAAATTTAATCACTGGGCTTTTCAGTAGGGTTTTCACTTTTTTCTCAAATTCCCTAACGAACTAATAACGATTTCACATCGCTTAATTAGATTACTCTTATTTGTAGATGAGTTACCTCCATGTCCTCCGCGGCATCAACAGATATTAGTTGACGATCGATTTGAACCTGATGGAGCAGGTTTTCTCACAGGGTTTTTTCATCCTGGAAGTACGTCTTGTTTCCGATCAAGGGATGCTAGGTACGGAGGAGGTTGAAACATTCTGGCGGGTAGCATATTGTTTTTTCAATCAAATGAGTATTAATACATACAATATGACAAGCGAAAAATATTAAAATGACAAGCGAGTTTGAATTATTAATAAAGTACCGATTACTAAAGTGTGCTCTTTCCAAATTGGACCAAAACTATGCCTTACAGGTGTGAAAAGTATACCAAATTGGTAAAAGTGTGTAGTTAAGCTGCGAAATATTGAAAAAATGTTGAAAATTTTGCTCCGCAAAAAACTACCCGTAAAAAAGGTGAGGGCCGGTTTTTCCTGCGTAATGCAAAATGATATAAAGTTGATTGGTTAATTACACGTCTAAATTTTTACACTTTGCAACCACACTTCTTCCTTTTTCTTTTGTTCATTTTGGAATATTAATGTTCTTTCCAGCTGTACTAATGAACTACGCTGTACTAAAGAGAAATATTATATCCTATTGCGTCAAAATTTTAAAATTGCATTAAATAATTATATGTTTTTGTTATTAAATGCCCCTAATCAGTCTAGCACGCATTTGGTATTGCATTCTCTTATCCTAAATAAATATAAAAATAAATATCATGCTCCAAACCACCAGAAAAGTAAAAAATCTTCAAAGACAAAGACTGGAGGTGAAATGTTATCTTTCGAACGTTTACTCAGTGATTGCAGTCGAATCTAAAAGTTTTGAAATTAAATTCACAGGTAAAACAGTTTGAAGTTAAAGCGATCGTGGAACGCATATTCAATGCACATATCCTTTTAAAATAAGCTGACATATTATGAATTATTCCCTATTTATTATGAATTTCCTTTCTTATTCAATCGGAGAGTTGTTTTTTCAAAGTGACAGATGAAGAAATGCGTGATTTTAATTTACTTTACCTGAAAGCAAAAAAAAGTGAAAAAATGAGGCCGAAATTATTTTCAAGGTTAAAAAATATTTTGTAGAACGCCTTTCAACTTTATTTTGCGAAAAATTGTTTCATTCGAATCTCCGTAAAACTGTTCAGATATTTGTTTACGTTTGTAAAATAGATTAACAGTCTTCACTCGTTCATTACTTGATTAACACTGCCGTCTCTATCGACCTAAAAAAAGCTTTTGATACCGTCGACCATACAATCTTATTGGAGAAATTGAAATCATTTGGCTTTTCTTCGACTGCTCTCGACTGGTTCTTCTCTTATCTATCAAACCGTACCCAAGTAACTATGATCAATAATTCAATATCCCACCCCAAGCCAGTTACTGTTGGAGTTCCTCAGGGAAGTATTCTTGGACCACTTCTCTTCCTGATTTATATCAATGATCTACCTGAATGCCTGACGCACTGCAAGTCGATACTTTATGCTGATGACACTCTCCTGTATTACTCTGCAGAGAGTATTTCAGAACTTCAGTCAAAACTCAACTCCGACCTGCAATCCCTTTCCTGTTATCTTAACAACAACCTCCTTACACTCAATTATGAAAAGACAAAGTTCATCATTTTTGCTGGTACTCGACGCCTACGATCCATATCTGAAATAAACATCTCTATTGGCAATCGTACTATAAAACAAGATGAATCGTTGAAATACCTGGGAATCACGATCACCGAAAACCTTACCTGGCATAAACATATTGAGAACCTAATGGGGAAAATTAACCAAAGATTGGGATTGCTGCGCCGTGTGAAATATTTCTTACCGCTGGATGCAAGACAAATTTTCTATAATAATTTTCTTGTATGATTGCATGGCGACTTTAGTAATTATAATAACTTGTAGGTACACCACGTAAGTATTAAATACTGCAAAGCTTTCGGTCCGTTAACCCGGACCTTCATCAGTGCAATTACTTGAATACACGTTTGCAAACGATAAGTTTACTGTCTCTCGTAAAATGAGAGAATCTATTGAAATTTATAAACATCAAACTATCGTCCAAGAGGGAAAGCCACTTAATAGTACGTGGCGTGCTCTTTTCGGTGTCTCTTAGTCAAATACTTGTCTAGGGCGCGCGCATTAATTAGAACTTAATTAAATGAAACCGTTTAATTAATAGCGCGAGCAAACTAATCACGACTAACATGATATTTAAGTGACGCGCAAACGTGTATTCAAGTAATTGCACTGATGAAGGTCCGGGTTAACGGACCGAAAGCTTTGCAGTATTTAATACTTACGTGGTGTACCTACAAGTTATTATAAAAATTTTCTATACCTCGGCAATTTTACCACTATTCGACTATGCTGATATAATATGGGGCGATAAAAACAATTCTGAGCTTATGAATTCCCTACAAACCCTGGAAAATAAAGCAGCTAAATTGATTCTAGACCTCCCTCCTCTTTCGTCAGCAACAGAAGCACTCGCTACATTACACTGGTCAACACTCTCTTCTCGCAGATATAAACATCGATGTATCTTCATATACAAATGCACCAATGGACTGATCGATTTCGGCTTCAACCTAAGAACCAACAGAAGCGTCCATTCCCACAACACAAGGTCGTGTAACAACCTTCATCTTCCGAAAGTCAACACTAACTGGGGTAAACATAAACCTACATACCAAGCTTCTAAAGAATTCAACAACTTGAACGATTCCATCAGAAACTCTATCTCTCTGAGTCATTTTAAGTCGTCCCTGAAGTGACATTCACTGACACACTATATATAATATTGTTAATTGCATGTCTCAATATGTTTTTTGTTTGTCTATGTCTATGTCCATGTCCACGTCGTTGTCCTTGTCCTTTTTAATGTATGTGTATGTCTATGTCTATGATTATTAGAAAACGTAGAACATTTATTCATATGTTGTTATGTGGTATTTTAAAATTGTATAATTATATGATAGAAGTTACGTTTAAATTATTATATAGTAATATGATTGTATCATGCAGGACCCCACTGAAAACACTATAAGGTGATGTGGGTATCCTGGTTAATAATAATAATAATAATATATAATAATAATAATAATAATAATAATAATAATAATAATATAATAATAATAATAATATAATAATAATAATATAATAATAATAATAATAATAATAATAATAATAATAATATAATAATAATAATAATAATAATAATAATATAAAATAATAATAATATAATATAAAATAATAATATAATAATATAATAATAATAATAATAATAATAATAATAATAATAATAATAATAATAATAATAATAATATAATATAATAATAATATAATATAATAATAATAATAATAATATAATAATAATAATATAATAATAATATAATAATAATAATAATAATAATATAATAATAATAATAATAATAATAATAATAATAATAATAATCACACTCTTTACTCCTTCATATATGTCGCGCATGCGCAAGCTAGCAAGATGGTCTAACGTCCATTGTCCACAAAAATAGAATTAGTAAATATAACTGCATTACTGCAAGAATAAAATTAAAATTAATTGGCTATTCGCTAGACAAATCTGCATACTTCGCACTATTTGGTGCCATTCGGTATGTAATTTCCTATCTAACGTGTCTGCATCGTTAAATTGAAATCGATAAATGTAAAAGCATGCTTACCGAAATTTGTTTGAAATATTATCAGAATATAGGCGAGGTGAAAATTGCGGAATAAAAATCGAGAAGAATTTATTGAGAAAGCCAATCTGTTGTAGAAAATTCATCTTTCACAAACCTAAAGAAGTATCTGGAAAGTTTTACGGCAATTGAAATAAAACAATACTTTCGCAAAATAAAGTTGAAAGCGTTCTACAAAATAATTTTTTGCCTTAAAAATAATTTTAGGCTTAATTTTTCCACTTCTTTTGTACTTTCAGGTAAGGTAAATTAAAATAAAGCATGGCCTTGTCTGTCACTTTGGCAGACTGGCTGCCATTTTTAAAATCCGCTTAGGTAATTATCACGTAATAATCCGAGGTCACTCGACCAATCAGAGCCACCATTTTAAATAATCACCTTTGTAATTATACTAATTTCAGTTATTCATATGCTTATAAAAAACATTTTTCTTTTAGTGCATCAGGTTCAGGTCAACAATGTTGTTATAAAGGTGATTCACTGTTGGTTGGACCTCCTGGTGGTGGTACATTTGACATCGTATTTCCAGAAAAGAGCCTTCTGGGTCACCTAAGCCGAGATGTGCTACCTTGGTTAGCATGCTGTAAACTTTCTTTCTTTGACAACTGTGGTAAATACTATGATGGAAGACCTTCCGATGATGGTTCAAGATTCATACCTCAACCAACTGGTAGATTTATTTTTTAAATTTTTTTTGACAAGTTGTGTGCTTAACAAAATTATAGTAAAATAATTATCCGAAAAACAACGCAACAGCGATTCCATACTTTTAATAATCAGAAGAAAACGTCTGGAAGCCAAAGCAAGATTTCCTCCTTTTGCCAAATAGCCATAGGGCACGAGACACAATAGCGAATCCAAACATCTTGCTGGTAATTAATTGCGGTGAAACGAAATATTCAATGACTGACAATTTTGGGAATTTTGTTGCAAATATTTAGCTGGTACCAGAGGTGATCCTCATTTATCCACATTTGACGGAACGTTCTACACATTCAACGGTTATGGTGAATACGTCCTTCTCAAAGTCAACAATGGCTTGGATCTCGAGTTTCAAGGAAGAATGGTACCCATACTTGATGACCACGGACGAACAACAAGAGCAACAGCCCTCACAGCATTTGTCATCAAGGGAGCAACGAGTGATACGGTGCAGGTTTGTGCACATTAATATTACAATTATGAGATTGAAACACGATTTTGTTTTTTTACGCAAGTTTAGTAAACTGGTTGTTATTAATTACGAAAGGTCAGAAGGGTTCTAAAAACAAAAGTAATTTGAAAAAAAACTACGACGCCATAATGATCTTTTAACTTATATTCATCGAACTTTGTTGCTTTATCCAGGTGTGGATTCAGGGTTAAGGCTGCCTTCCACTTAGGTGCTTTTTATACGCACGTACACGCAGTGGCGTAGCCAGCCTGACGATTTAGTCATGCTATGCAAATTTGATGTTATTATCATTATTCATTTCTTTAGAAATTCATTGTTTTCACAGTCGATGAACACCAAAATATTAGCATAGCATGACTAAATTGTCAGGCTGGCTACGCCACTGCGTACATGCATGTAAAAGTCTAAATCCTTATACATGTTATCTTTTAAAAAACTAAGTGAATAAATCGAAGGAACTTAGTTTTCTGCATATTTTAGTATGCGTTAACTTACCTAGATGTTAAATATGATAAAAATTTAAAAGCATTTAAAATTTCCGTACGTACGTGTACTTGCGTATAAAAAACGTGTAAGTAGAGAGCAGCCTTTAGACAGAGCAAATTACTACAGCTCAAAATCGTAATCTCATTATTAGATTTTTATAAAATATTCTTTAGAAATCCATGACCAATTAATTGCATTGTTATTAAGGTATTTTGAATTTAAAATTAAGCGCTTTAATTTATACTGCCTAACGCTAGATCCGCCGCTGGCTTTATTATCATGGAATTCGTTTATATTTGGCATGTAGCCATACTAACGTTATACACTGATACAATTATAAGACTGAGACGCGATCTTAGGGTTTTTGTTATTTTAGTAAGCTGGTTGCTATAGATATTAAAATCTCTAAACTTTCTAAAAGTAAATGTAAAATAAATTAATTATATATAAAACTTATAACGTTACATTTTTCATTTTTTCGTGATCAACAGTATTGCTTTATGCTGAAGTTCGTTTACTTAGCATGCACGGGTGCAAAATTCTCTAGAAATGATTACTATATATCATAGTTACATTATTTTTCGGCGAATCCGGAAGAAGATTTCAACAAACGCGTCAACACTTCTCCCCGACCCATCTTGTTTTCACAAAACATACAAGCACAATCTTTATTGTTGCCAGATTATCAAATTTGAGAGTTAAAATATTGCATATGTTTGTACCTAACGTAAGAATAGGCTAGGTTTTTTAAAGGCCCTGTCACACTGTTGCGTATCACATTAGCGTATGGCAGCGTATGATAAATATCACGCATACGCCGGAATACGCTGAAATATGCTGGTGGTACGTCGTGCGTAAGTTATACACGTTCCAAGCACGGTCACATACGCTGGTATACGCCGAGGAAGAAAATTTTTTTTAAGCATGCTTAAAAATCTTGTGCGTGTTTGGACGTATGGTTTATACGGTAAAGATAAGCTAGTCATACGCTGAATACGGCAGAAGGACGCTAAATGTACTGTATTAATAGGTTGAGTACGCTAATCATACGCAAATGAGTAAGTGTGCCGTACAACTAACGTGTTGATGGCGCATCAGTAACGAAGGTCTAACTTATGTGTGACGTATGTTTAACGTCTATAGAGGGCTTAGCGTATGACTGACGATTAAGTAACGCATTTACCGTACAATTAGCGTATAGTTAACGCCTGGTCGTCGTATCTTCAGCGTATTGCGAACGTTACGAGAAAGGGTATGATTATAAATATTATAGCATGTCATTTTTTGTCTATAATATATATTTATATTGGATGCCTTCATATCATCTTGTACCTTCGAGGATAAAGGATGGAGTTAGTTGTTCTTGAATACCAGTTTGATCTCATAGCTTTGACGATTCGTCACATAGAAAATTACAGAAGGAAAAGGAGAAAAAGAAAAAGAAAAAGACGTGAGGTATGGATGAGATCATGGATCGGAAGGCGAAGGCAGTTTGGCATTTACGACCAACTTCTGGTGGAACTCCGAAGCGAGGATACGCGATGTTTCAAGAACTTTATGCGGATGGTCCCCGAGATGTTTGATGAGCTTCTAGCAAGAGCGAGTCCCTGCAGGATCACCAAGAAACATACCTGGTATAGGCGACCGCTGGAGCTTGGGCTGAAGCTCTCTTTGACTTTGCGACACCTTGCCTCTGGGAGCAAGCGTTCAGCCATGAAGTACGGATGGAGGCCGGGTCCCCCACAACACCCAGTCACTTATTGTCAGAGAGGTTTGCCAAGCCATCATCGACGAATACATGTCCGAAGTAATGGCCTGCCCTACCACGCCAGAGGGATGGCGTGCCATATCTGATAAGTTCCTCAAGAGGTGGAACTTCCCCCATACATGTGGTGCTATAGATGGAAAGCACATTGCCTGCAAATGTCCACCAAAAAGTGGATCCCAATATTTCAACTAAAAGGGATTCTTCTCTGTTGTACTCATGGGCCTTGTAGACGCAGATTATAAATTCATCTGGGCAGACCTCGGTGGTAAAGGGTCATCATCGGACGCACAGATCTACAACAACTCTGAAATCAAAGAATTAACTAAAGACGGAACTATAGGATTCCCCATCCCCGATGCTTTACCAAATGACTATCAGAGTGTCCCCTACTTCTTTTTAGGTGACGATGCCTTTGCCCTCCGAGAGACAATGATGAAGCCATACAGCCGCCGTGGTCTATAGTCAATACTTCTTTCACGTTGGTGGTTGAAGGTTGAGAACATCATCCTGAAATCCAATATCATCAGTAGATTCCATGATGTCTCGAAATCCTGAAAGACTAGTAATGTTCGGGTGACTTTGTAGTGGGGTGCAAATCGTGGGGTGGTTGAGAAGGGATCCCTTGTTGGTTCACTTTGATAGATGGAGCCGCCATTGCACTTGGAAATTCATCATCGCTGTCCTCATCCATGAGTTCAGACAATAACCTATTGATGGAGGACCTTGCCTTCTTGTACTTGGACTTGGACATAGTCAAAAGGCTCTCTTTAACATAATTTGCAAAGACACTTCGTGCTGTAATGGGCTGTTGTTTGAGCTTTGTAGATGTCTTTGAGGATGGTGCCAGACGCAGCAACTCTCTTCTGTAGAGTCTCAAGGACGTCACTCTCTGTGTCCTGAGGTCGCTTGTGGGACCTTCCAGCGGTAGATGATGGTATTGGAGTGACTTCATCTAAGACATCCTGCTTATCAGCGCAGGCACTCTCGGCAGCATTGAGATCTCCTCTGTGAAGCTGGATGGTTTCCTTCACCTAAAAACCAAAAATATCATGTGGAAATTGTCTCAAATTACTTGGTTATCATGTTGATAAGGTAATATGGTTGTATACTTACACTCTGCATGGGCTCCGGTCGGTGGCGAGTGACAGTCTTCAGGAAGGCAAACTTTGAGAGGATCCACTGTTCTCTCTTAGTCAGGTTTGGAGCACTATCCCCGCTTTTCTTTTTGTCAAGGCGCGTATTGGTGTCGCGCAGCGATCTGAACCAGCCCTTGAGGATGTCAACAGTCTTATTCATCTGATGTGCTTGCTCTTCCAGATCTTCTCTTTCTTGTCTTTTCGCCTATAATCTGTCATCTTCACATTCCCAGCACAGGATTGTCTGGATGATAAACTCCAGCATCAGCTCCTCTTCTGTTGGCGCTGAGGTTGTAGGGGTTTTTTTCCGCCCTTTCCTCTATTTTTCTCCTTGCTATCAGCCCGCCGGAAGGAAGTAAAGTCATCAATGGTTCAGATGAAAAGCCAATGAATTATGGGAGTCTTGGGAAGGTTGTGTTGGGGACTTTGAGAGCTCAGGAACATGTCGCGCATTATTTAAAGATGTCTCAGGAATAAGTGCATCATCATCAGGTGGTTCAACTACATCTGCAGGTGCACAAACACGTTGTTCGTCAGCTTGGCAACAGCTGATGAAGTCCTCTTTCCTTTCCTTCGTCCGCGGGTAGATGATGTCTCGTATTTGCCATGGTGTTTCTTCTTTTTTTCACTGGAGGTTTGACATTCTCGAATGGAACCGTGTGAAAATACTGCCGCTTAATACGAAAAGTCTGTGAAACGCCATTGGTATGCTTGACATGCGCATTTCAAACGCTTCTCGTAAGCTATTCATACGCTGGCATACGCCAGCGACAGGCTACTCATACGATACTCATACGTTTAATAAGTTAATTTTATGCAAAATGTCCTATTTTTACAGACTTTTTCGTGCGTATAAAAATGAATGAAACGATCTTTATACGCGACTCATACGTTCCTATTATACGCAACAGTGTGACAGGGCCTTAAGCGCAATTGATTTAATGTAAACGTTGCGATTGAAAACTGCTTATTTATAGCTTAGAAGTTTTTAGCGAGAGATTTTGTTGACTTGCTAAATGAATGCAGATTGACCAATATTTAAATATTCAATCTTTTTTAAATTTGTCCACCATTTGTATTTAATTATATGCTTTTCGTGAAGATATATTGATTATATTTTTCGATGTTTCACTTTAGTTCGAGTTTAACAGACGGCGCAGCATAGACGTGTTAGTCAATGGTGAACGTGTCGAATTTGATGAACAAACAAGATTAGACTTCACTGGTGTCTTCATTGTTAAACAAAATCAGTCAAAATTTGGTACATACTTCGCATCAGGAGTAGCTATTGTGGTCACATCTGTAGAAGATTTTCTTACTTATCAAATTTCAGTACCATTAAGATTCAAAGGTAACAACAGGTTTCATCTTAGTAATAAAAAATCGTATGGGTTTGTTTTAAAGGAATCAGGGACGTATCGACTAAATTTCACCACTCCTCTAAGCGATATGTTAATACAAGAGTTGCTTTGTTGAGTAAACTATAATTATGTATTATTTCCAGTCCATTTCCTTCGCTCGTATAATGATAAGGGAGACAAAAAATTAATGGTTAATTAATCCGAATGCTTTCGCCTGAGGAATGTGGGGGCATACATTTGTCAGCGCATCCTCGGTTTTGCTGGGTCAAAATGCGAAGGCTTATGAAAAAAAAATGATTAAAAAATAGTGAGAATTTCCAAGAATAAGGTTGAAAATTTTAGCATAAAAACCGCTCATAAGATTTTTAGTCATTGTGTGAAGTCTACTATAGAAAAATCAAACTTACGGTATATATATTGGCTCAATTCCATTGAACCTCCTTTTCTCATAACATTGCGTTTCCTACCCCTCGTTATTTCGCATACCTATTTTTTAACATGTATCAAAAAGAGTGAACATTCGCCCTTTGTTAGGAAGAACTGCTGGTCTTCTTGGATTTTGGAACGATGACAAAGATCTAGAATTTTTATTGCCTGATGGCAGTTTCATTGATACAAATTCAAGTTATCGAACAATTCACCACGAGTTTGGCCAGAAATGTAAGTTATCAATTCTGAAGTGGTTGTTTTCTCGTACCTCATTATTGGTGGAACTAATTATTGGGTTAAAACTATGAGTTGAACATTTTCCGTGATTTATCACCATCAGAAAGGCATCGACATATTCCCAAGGCATAGACCAATCAGCATAGAAAAAATGCAATGCATAGAATAGAAAATTGAACAAGTGTATTTTACACTAATTAACGTTGACCTATATATAAATAGATTATGATTTTGGAACTGCACTCGATGCAGGTAATAGGGAGGTTAAGATCTACTTCCACTACCAGTACCGATACGAAGATACATGACGTATTACAGTTTGGCAGTGCGGAAATTTTAAAGCGTTAAGATTGTGACTTCCGTAAGAAGTAAATAAACATGGCTGAGTATAGCGGCTGTATTCACATCAAAAACTCTAATCACAATCCTTAAGTCTCACCAAACAAAGCAGAAACATTATACAACTAAAACCTAAATAATATTATTAGAAAACTACTGCAGAAAATGACAATAATACAGTAAATATATTTCAGTACTTCGCCTACCTATTCACTTCCATTTTCAGCCCCAAAACGGTACTCGCGATTCCAGTGTTGTCACATTTTGGACGATTGTTACATCTGCGCATGCGCGCGACTGATTATTGGTATCGGTACTCGTAGCGGAAGCCGATCTTAACCTCCCTAATCACTCGATTGCACCGGTATCGCAAAAACGTAGGTTCGATTCCTGCCGGAGGATCCATAGTTGACTAAATTTTCCATCATCTGTTCCTGGCTTGAATTTGAAGTGTGTATAATTCCACTCGAAATTAAGACCCTTAAACCTTTATGTATAAATACGTAATCAATTCTCGCTATTAACCACACCCAATGTTCCTCTTTAAAAATGTGTAATCAATGTGTCATTAGCTATACGTATATCTAAACAAGTTGTCAAGGTGTAATAATGTCTCATTCCATCTATCCATTTTCCTGAATACGTAAAATTAGTTGTACTGCTTGAATCTTTTTAATCACATTAAGGTAGCGGTCGTTGAATAACCTGCCTTCGGCACAAGATGATATGCCCCAAATTATTGTATTTGCCAAAGAAACAAACAACAATCAATTTCACTACTTTTCAAAGAAACATTGGTTGTACCTATAAAAGTTATTGCAAATTTCATGGATGAAAGTATAGAGGCGTGTCAATATTTCTTCAATTTATACAGGGATTGTGGACAGAAGCAAGACTCTTTTCGCGTACCATGTCGGAAAAAGTTACGACAGTTATTTTACTCCCAACTTCATTCCGGCCTTTCTTGACGAGACAAACTCATTGTTTTCGAGTTTTACTTTGGAGCAAGAAGCAAGGAGTGTATGCGGGGCGAATGAGGAATGTTTGTACGATATTGCTGTAACTGGTAAAAGAGATATTGGTGAGGCGACGTTGGAATCCTTTAATGAAATACAGAAACGAACAAATGCGTCGAAACTTGGTGAGAAAAAAAACCATGCATGTTACATGGTGCAAATTTTTTACATACAAAATTCAGTTCTATATGCAATTCTACTTTCGGAAGATGTAAATTAAAATCTTCAAAATGTAAATGTAATAAACACAACAATTTCTTAGTTGCCAAATTCACTAATTTCAAAAGTAGAATTGTATTGCGAGTTGCATGAAAAAATTGCAGCGTGTAACAGTGTTTGCAATAGCTGAAACTTGGACATAAGTTTATCTAGGGAAAAATTTTACGGTAATCAATTAAACTTGCGAATGGTAAAAAGTTGGTGATTTTGAATGTTGTTTAAGAATATATACTACAAAAATATTTCATAAGCGTCAAAATCGCCCCTTTCCTGTGGTAGGGGAAGATTAGGAAAGACTTTTGTCTACTCCAAACGAGCTGGAGAGCTGGAAAGGCTATTGCCTTATAAGGCTGTTGACTTTCATAATTGCTCTCTGGTTTAGTCCGGTTATATTTACGATTTTAATGACAGTAGACATAAAAAAATGGTGAGGGCGGATTTTACTAAATTATATCTACATGGTACTCTGTATAGATATGCATATTTTATCATACTTCCTAGTTTCTAGCTTGTGTTCTCCCACAGGGTCTCTTTAATACCATGTATGTATAATAGTTGTAACTTGGTATAAATGGCCTTCTTGCGAGAGCCAAAATCCTTGATCCGAAATTAAGGAGGAGAAGCAAGGCTTTTTCTTACGAACGAGAAGGATTTATTCGCGGAGAGCCCTTAATATTTTTTGTAATTATTAATATTATTTTTAAAACGATTCGGTAGACCGTATAACCCCTATACAGCTAACCCAATCCCAATAATGCAAATCCTCGGTAAAAGGTCAAAAATGTTTTTCAGTTGCGAAGCGGATTTTCTTTGGTTGTGATGGAGTCGAGAACAGCGGAAAGAAAGTAGATTTTTGTGGTGATTGTGGAGGAGACAACTCATCGTGCACAGATTGTGAAGGTCGCATCAAACCTGGCTTTCTTAACAATGAAACATGTGGTAGGTTTCTTTCATTATTATCAAACTGAAGATTTGAAATATTATTATGCATATAACAAGATTTAAGTTGACCATTTTTTAAATAAGGTTCCTATCTGCCCTGGAGTCAATGGAGTGTTTGCATCGGCGCAGATGCAAAAGTAACGAGGGAGCGAAATAGAACATGTTCGAAAAAAGGACATTGTCTGCATTTAGGTCAAAATATGGAACAAGAAATATGCAAGACCAGTGAGGATAACGGTAAGTTCCAAAATTTACTCCATCATGAGCGACGGGGTTGAAAAATGGCCGAGGTTTTGGTACTTTTGTTATTTTATTATACAGAATTTAAAAGCTATCGGCTAATTTGTACCCAGGACCTGACCCAACGCTCGCTGAAGATCGTATGTCAACGTATTTATCTACGTTAAAGTTTCGTCTCGTAAAAGTTGTGATGCGCTTATAGTATCTTGAGCCAATTTTTCGACGCGCGATTTGATTTCGCCTACATGATGCAGCATGCAATTCCTTCACCAGGTACGAATAAACCGTTATTTTAATGCTGTTCGATTAAGTTTAGGTTTAATTGTTGTAAGAATATAATTATTATTCAAAACATGTGATAATATCGTTGCTATTTACGCGTATATCGCGCTAAGACATGTCGCACACGATTGAAGAAATAAGAATACGATCAAGCACTAACACAACATGAACGTTTACATTCGTCAACATGCATATTACACATATTACACGCTGTTATAAGCAATACGGCTATCACATGAACAAAATTAAAGATGGCGGTCAACATTGACAGCAGCGAAAAGGTTACAAGCAATGACGGATTACAGGGGCGGATCTAGGGGTTGTCAGATGAGTCACGCGACTAATTCAATCTAAACTTAATATATCGCGAACAGCATCAAAAGAACGGTTTATTTCTTCCTCTTGGAGGAATTGCCGCATCATGCGAGCGAAATCAAATCGCGCATCGGGCAATTAGCCAAAGATTTTGAGCTGTGCACCACAACTCTTGAGAGAAAAAACTGTGACGTAGATAAATACGGTCACATAAACTTTTGTAACACTAGTGTATTTCGCGCCCAAAGCACACTTGCGAAGACGAAAAACGTCGCTGACACCAGAGTAATGAGGAAAATTCCACTTATTAATCTGGCGTCAGCAACGGAGTTGAAAATTCGCCTAGATTTTGTTTTCTTGATATTTATTATTATTTTTTTATTAATATATTTCGTCGTCGCAAGTGCGTTTTGGCGCGAAATATACTAGTATCTGAAAAGTGTACGTGACCGTATTTATCTACGTCACAGTTTTGTCTCCCAAGAGTTGTTTTGCACCGATCGAAATCTAATTTTCCGATGCCCGATTGGATTTCACTCTCATGATATGGAAATTCCTCGAAGATGAACAAATAAACCGTTCTTTTGATTTTGATCGATTAATTGGTCCTATTTTAATAATATCACCGCTATTTTACCGTTTAACAAGTTGTGGTCGGGTATGGGCGTTTTGACACGTCACAGTTTGCACATGATTGAAGATTTAATATAAGCGTGAATCCTAAAGTGAAGACAAACTGAATGCATATCATGCAATATATTAAAAAAAATTCTTTATTGATTTAAGTTGACTATATCAATAATACATCTGCATTGCTTGCCAGCATGTAGTCATTTGTCAATGTGTTTCCTACAAGTCTTAATCTACTGGAGAGGTCATTAAGGAGGGCCATTAGGTAGGATACTTGTAAAAACGGTAAATAATGCAAAAAATACCCTCTTGAAAAAAAGTTTTGATTATTATTATTATTAAAGTTTTTAATACAAGCGCGGATTTTCAATACATTTTTGAACTTTGATACTTTTTAATACAATCATATAGTCTAGGACCTGTAAGTGAGTTTATATGCATTTCATTTAGGACAGATCAAGAGAATGATTATCTCAACTGTTTTAAGGTAAAAAGACCATGGCGGTCAACATGGCATATGTACCAAAATCTGAATCCGGGACGAAAGTCCTGAAAATGACCGCACCCAGAAACGCCATAGTCGACATAGCTCTAAATCTTGAATTACCAAAGCCACAGTCTTTCTAAATTGTTTATATTGTTCAGAATGGTGGTTGCTTTTAGGGGTGGTCACTAGAGAGTGAATTTAGCCTAAGTTTCATATTTTACAAGAAAATGAATGTTTACCATTCCAGTTCAATTGCTATAATTATGCATAAAATTACAGATTCACCTGGCAAAGTCTAATTTTCCTATTTTCTAAACATTTTTGTCATATGTCGACTATGCCGTTTTTGGGTGTGGTCATTTTCAGGACTTTCGTCCCGGATTCAGATTTTGGCACATATGCCATGTTGACCGCCATGGTCTTTTTACCCTAAAACAGTTGAGATAATCTGTCCTAAATTAAATGCATACAAATTTCTTTACAGGTCCTAGACTAATACTCCCGTAGACGGAAAAAAATTATACGTAAATTCATTTAACCTGAATACAATTGATCGTACGAATTTGACCAGTCCTCAGTGTGTGTGAAGAGTTAGACAGATGTTCTCGATAATGATCAACGTTTATTTTGTTTTCTTATTTAAGATTCTTTTTTATTTGGTCAATTTTATTAACATATATTCACGTTAGTTCGTCTAACCTGCTCCATTTCGCAGATTTCTTAACAAAACACATAATAAAATTCGCGGTCACGACAATTTATATTTTCGCTAAAATTAATGCATTGTACAATGAACTCCTATACATTGAATATACCAATACTTTTCTGACCCTCCAGTCACTGGTATTTTACCCCACCCCTGTCCCGCACACTATAGAGTAAATGAAACGAATACTTTGGATAACAAAGTGCTGTGTGTACAATATGAGGTTACGTACAATATTTCGTGAATCTAAAACTGCGAATTTAGTTTCACCTTTGTTTCATGGTTGAACAGTGTGTAAAACTCTACTTTGACTCTGAAATTAGTGTATTACCTAGAAAATACTGCCCCGCGTGTTACAACAACATAATTTATTGCACCTACAACATACTTGATTTTACTACATAACTCTAAGAGTAAGACAGTGAGTAAGGAGTGAGTGGAAGAGCAACACCATGCACGACGTTTATTCGAACAGAATAATATCTTTTGACCATTATCAGAGAATAATATCTTTTGACCATTTAGCGGCTTGTTTCCTGCCTTGATCAATCAATTCAAATGTTAACTTTCATGTCTTTTTTACATTACAGACGATCGAAAAACGTTAAAGTTCTATGCAGTTGTGATTGGTATTTCTGTTGTTGCTATATTTCTCATCATTGTAATCGCTGCATTGTGTAAGCGCTGCTGTTGCAACAAGTTTTCTTCAACTGCTCCAGCCAATTTACATGTCTCTAATCATCAAAATAACTCTTATATAATGTAGTTTAAAGTTATTTCCAGGCAAAATAGCATGCACAGTAATCATGTAATCATGTATAAAATATATTATTTCTTTTATGATGCCTCTCTTTTGTTGAAGTAAAGAGTTTAAATTTACTAGAATTGAAATATATCAACTTTCACCGAACTTGCACTTGTAGTCTAAAATAGGCATTGACAGCCTTTTTTGGTGCTGGAGAATGTAACCAATAATTAATATTTAGATAAAGAGATGTGTGAACAATTAATCATAGAACTTCTTCTACGAATGTATTCCTTTGCTTAATAATTACTAATAAATAAACAATGTCATAATTAGATATCGTTTTCTTCCGCCCTTTTTTTGTCCCATGCATAGCGTATACAATACCAGCGTACAACAGCACGAGCTACATAAGCGATATCAATGCGAATAAAATTAATATAATGCCTTGATAAATATCGAAACAAGTATAAGTACGACCGCGAGCTCAACGATTGCCAGCGCCCGGCCAATCAGTTCTGCTCCATCACTACCAAAACTAGACCCGGCCGGTTCATATGAAATATGAAATATGAAAGCACTATCCACTGGGTAGTGTTTTTTCAATCGCTTTAATATCGCCCGTTGTTAGGAAAAACTATAATAAAATATTTTTAAATTCGTAAAATTATCAAAATTATTCAACGAAACATGCCTTTCATGCGTATAAACTGATACGAAATGACCCTTTAGCTACCAAAGACATTTTGACTACAAAAACTGACATTTAAATAATTATGATTAAAAGTTGTAAACAACCGTCCCAGAACGAATTTTTATATGCTCGAAAAAGGTGGGAGGTTAAATGCCGCAGACCCCTAAAAATTTGTAGCGGTGAAAGAAATTGCACATTGCTCTTGCGATCCTAATCTTTGTTAATGCAAGTCAATTTGAAGCCGTAGTGGATTATTGCATTGCACATGCACGCTCTTATTTCCATAATCTATCATTGGACTTGAGCCACTGGGCGGACGCTATAGAGTATAGTTGCACTTAATTAGAATATTCCTGCATGGCCAGAAATATAGGCGCGAAAATATGCGCGATTTAGCGCTGATTTAGAAGCCGATTTATATAATATAACCCATGTACTATTGAAAAATCAGATTTGTTCAGGTCCAAAAATCATCAACGTATCGACCTTTAATTTAGTCACTGAAAATTGGAGGGCAACTCGAGATGCCCAAAATATTACAAGAAGGAATACTTTTATGGTGGTCATCATGTGGGAAAGTACATATAATTATATATTCCTAGCATATATATTAATGATATTAGTTACCTCCCAGTTCACCTTTCTGATGGTTGCCCATCGGCAAAATGAATGTCCACATTTAATCAGCCCCGTATGTAAAAAGAATGAAAGGATCCAAACTCGCTTATCAGACTTCGGGAAAGATTTTGTATGCCTTTAAAGCATGGGCTTGAAAGTAAGTATAACATTTTCATATTAACAACAAGCGGAACTTGATTAGCTGAATAGCAGAGGCCAGTTGTTCAAAGCTAGGTTAGCGCTTACTCTGCATGGGTTAAATTTTAAATCAGAGTTTTAGTAGAAAACTGCTTCTAAATCACTAGTGGTTCGTTTTAAAACTTTAGAAAATATTGCTTCTAACAGTCCAGAAAATATTGGTAAAAAAGAGATTCAATTTTGTAAGCAAGTGATTGAAAAAATTACGATAAAGATTTGCTTTAACCCAGGGTTAAACTAACCGGCTTTTGAACAACCGACCCCAGACGGCGGGATTTTCCGATACTCTGTGCGCCACTATAACCACTGTAAACGTATTTACCGACATTTTTCTATGAATAAATTATATAGACTACAGTTATTGGCATGTTTTGTGGCGTTGCTAAGTCTGATTACATATTCTTTCATTCAACACCGGCTGCGAGGTACCGCATGAAATAAATTGTGCACGAATTGTGCACGTTTATAGAATTTGTAGAAAGGTGAATTTAGGAGCGGTCTCTGAAATTCGTCCTTTTTCACTGTTTACCCCAAACCATGCAATTTCTGGTCCTTTTTTATCCTGTGTTTCACGGTACCGGACGAATTCCCCTATAAGACTGAATTTTTTTATTGTTCGTGAAAAATACAATAATATGCATGAGCATCGTATTGATGACATGCCCATTCCTTAACCGCGCTATATATCGGTACAAAAACAAAGCAAGACAAATTTCTGGTGTTTATACGGCACCCGGACGAATTTAAGCCGGTCGAGTAAAAAATCTGAACGCGGGTTTTTTTTGGATCACGAATTCGTCTTGCTAAGAGGGTATTAAATTTGTTCGCTTGCGTGGTTCTCGGGTAAACAAAAGGCCGAAAACACTTAATTCAGATCGAGCGATTGCAAATTCGTCCTGTGTCATGTAAACGGGGACGAAGTCTCAGAAACGGCCCCTGAGCTTATAATTTTATCATGAAATGGCTCAAAAGAGTCGGTAGGATTTATTATTTTAGGAAACAGAAATGGTCATAAAATTGAGTAAACCTCACCGGTTCTGCTGCTGCATTGAGCAGGCATTTATGGATTTGGCATGTTCAGTTGATTGTTGCAAACGATTATGTTTATTGCGATTCAAACATTTTTATACATTTTTATATTATTTGTATCAACTATTTGAATTTGCATGGTCATAATACAGATAACACATTATAGTCCTATGACCTATGTATATGCACTTATTTGCGTTGGCAACAATTTATTTTGCAAAATCATGGGTTTGGATATTGTCAGTATGAGTGCGGTACGGCGATGATATGCCGAAACAAATTGGGCAATGCAGGATGCCTTGATACTTGAAGTTGAAGATTTTCATGCGCTAGTGCAGCTTCAGGTAGCCATACACCTTTCTTGGAAGTCATTCTTGTCAGAAACTTTAAATCAGGGAACTTGTACTGGAATATACATGCTGAAACGCAAATTAATTATCATGCGAATGGACTTTCCCGTTAGCCAGGCTGTCTAGCTCTGATACTATACCAAAGAAATAAATTAATAAAATACAATAAATCCAGCATAAGTTGTTTGAAGCATCGTGATACTCGTTTGTTTATAACTTGGATGACCTGCACTGCCGTATCTCATAATAGTTTATAATGGATACTTACCCTTTTTATAGTCTTTGTTTCAATAATAAATTCATCTGCATTGGTAATTTTAGAACCTATAGTTTTCATTAGCGTCCTACAGCAAAGCTCATATGATGGAACATGAAATATATCTTTGTGCTCAGTTTCACGGGTTATATTGAAACGAAAGGATATTCAAAATTCTCAGTTCTGTAAGTTAACTAGACGAGAAAGCTAATATAATTATGTTTATGTAGTACTAATAAAGAAATCGATCATACTGCGTAAAACAATAAATAATATAATGAACGTGGCGTGGCAAAATATGCATTGAAATTTAAATGTATTATTTGATACATATGCAAAATGGCTAAGAAAAGCTTTCAATACTTATATCATTAAGCGTATCCTTATTAAAATGAATATAACAGACGACTTTGGCTTTCGCTTCAGTGTAGTTTCTTCTATCTTGCACAGATATTGCGTATATACGCGCATATAGAGTTTGAGGATTTCCTTCTGGACCCAGCAATGGAGATACTTCAATCTCACCGATGATGACGGCAGTTAGTTAGGCTGCATGCAAATATTGCACATTAAGTCATCATTAACTGTCGAACCTTAAAACCTGATTACAGTAGGCGAGGGCACACATACGTACGGCTACACAAATATACTCATCTTACAAAAAGTTTATTTAATGAGTTTATGATGTTCTTTGCAAATATAGGTATACGAAATATTTTCCGTTGTAGCATTTTAGTCATTTTTTTAATGTTTTCATCTCAGCAAGAGATTGATGAGTATCATAGCCAGGGATTCGCTGATTCGATAAGTCTTGTTGTCATAAGTCATTATTATAATAAGCTGAAATATAATTATAAATCTTACATAGAGAAAAAAAATACTAAGAAGTAAGAGTAATTATATCTATAAAAACAGACGTCCTGTCGAATTAAGCATCCGGAACATATTATTAAATGCAAATTCTAAAAATCTTAAATTTACTATTAGCTTTATTGCTACTCTGAAAGCTAAAATTTAGGCCTAAAATTTGTCAAGTCTTCGGAAAGTCATAGTCATCAAGACGCGTTAGGAAATCTTAGCAATTTACACTAATTGTGCATGTGTAATGTATAAATGTAACATGTTTACGTAGTATATAAAGAATTTGATCATACTGCGTCGCAGTAAATTAATAATGAGCGAGGTTTGGCAAAATATGCATTGAAATTTAAAAATACCTATATAATACTTATTCATAAATAATTATGCAAAATGGTTTAGAAAAGCTTTCAATACTCAGTGCATATAAACATATCCTTCTAGAAATTAGCAAGAAGTATGAAGTCCTTCGTTTTAGCTTCTGTTTTTTTCTGTCTTGCTCAGATTGCTTATACGCGAATAGAGCTTCGGGACTTTTTTCCTTATGGACCCAGCAATGGAGATACTTCAGTACCCACCAATGATGACGGCAGTTCGGGTCTTGTCAATATTGCATTTCCCTTTCCTTTCTTCGACGAAGAACATGACTCCCTGTTCGTAAGTATTTTGCAGACATTATTTTCATACTTATTCATACGCACCAGATATTTAATCGGTATACATGTATAGTTTTAGGCGATATTTGCACCCATATCTTTCAGGATAATTATTATAAACACTTGCCACATCATTTGTGAGTGTATGTCTTGCTCAATTTTACAATTAAATTTTTATATATGTTCAAACTAATAATTGTGTTATTGTAGCAGCCTGTGTACCTGTAGCGACCAGCAGTTTTTTCAAATAGAAAAATACATGTAGCTTTAATGGAAATCAAATAAATATTGGCAGTTATTGAGGAATGCCCAATAACGAAAGTAGAGTAATTTCAAGAATTCGAAACACAAGCAGTGAATCCCCAGTGATGCGTTTAGAGCCTGAAAAACACGTACATGCACTTTCATACTATCCTGACAAAATTCTCGGGGGCGAAACGCCCAGAAGTGTTTTGTTTATTTTGGGCAGTTGTTAATTAATTGCAGCACAGTTGATGCGAAGTGCTGAAAGACTCTGCCTAAAAGGCGATCGAGGGTCGATCAGTCGAGAGTTAAGTACGACATTCCAGAGTAAAAGTCGAGGTTCGAGGAAAAAAGTCAAGAATCAATACTAAGAAGTAGAAAGTCGAAAGTAAAAATTCGAAAGTCAATAGTAAAAAGGCAAGAGGAAAGCTATAGTTATAAAAAAAATTTTTTAAACAAAAATATTGCCGATACGTGTATGCAAAAAAAAAATCGTACTGCAATCAAATCTTTATATGTCTATGTCGAACAGACAAAATTTCATTTTTTATTTTTTATATTATTTGTATATTTGAGTGTGGTCGTAATACAGATAACATATTATAGTCCTATGACCTATGTATATACACTTATTTGCGTTGGCAACAATTTATTTGGCAAAATCATGGGTTTCGATATTGTCGAAGTCAGTATGAGTGCGGTACGGCGTTGATATGCCGAAACAAAGGCAATGCAGGATGTCTTGATACTTGAAGTTGAAGATTTTTCACGCTAGTGCAGCTCCAGGTATAGCTACACCTTTCTTGCAAATCATTCTTGTCAGAAACTTTAAATCAGGGAACTTGTACTGGAATATACATACTGAAACGCAAATTATGCGAATGGACTTTCCCGTTAGCCAGGCTGTCTAGCTCTGTTACTATACCAAAGAAAAAATTAATAAAATGCAATAAATCCAGCATAGGTTGTTTGACGCATCGTGATACTCGTTTGTTCATGAACTTGGATGACTTGCTCTGCCGTATCTTGCACTGCCAAAAAATAAAATCGTACTGAAAAGTTAAGAAACGTATACAATCAAATCTTTATATGTCTATTAAACAATTACTGAGCTTCGCGGATAGATGTTTATAATTTTTATGCTAATGTAGTACAAAGGAATGTTTTGCGAACAGTTTATAGGTCATCTTTTGCCGAAACTTTGAGTAACGGTATTCATGCATGCAGTGTATATATAAATGACGTCACGTAATTACGTTACCATTGAACGGAATAAATGAAGAACTGAATGTGCGTTCTCAAAAATTGCTTTAAACAATTCATCTTACTGAAATTACTAGCCTACCATATTTTTAGCTGGCCAGTCCTTGCGTTGTGCTGCGATATTCTATATTTGTCCGCAAACGTACCGCCACAACTATAACATTTTTATGCTGAAGACCACAATTTTTAAATTTTGCACTTGCATAATTTGTACCACAGTCTGTTGTAAGCGTTTCTGGGATATCATACGTAGTTTGTGCTATTGAATGTAAATAATATTATGTCAGATGCTGCTTCGCCCCATGCCATGGATGCATGGTCTGGAGTCTTGCTCGGCATCATTGGTTTTTTCTGTTTCGCTGCTGCATAGTCATGGAATTTAAGTGAATACAAATCGTATATCTCATTCGCAGTCTTTTCTTGAAGTTCCTGCATGGTATTGGTCATGTGTGGCAGATATTCTCTCCGGAATGTTGTCCCGAAACGCCTTTCTTTCTGGTGGAATAACATTAAGACTGACTCTGCTGAGCGTATCTGCGATGATTTGCCCTTGCCAGGAATGTATTCAACTTTCATGTCATATACTTTCACTTTCAGCATGATGGTCTGCATCCCCAAGGGTGACACAGCTAAGGCTTGCAAAAATGGTCTCTAACGGCAGTTTCCCTTGTTTCTCAATAGTTGACCAGTTTATCTCGGCTGTATACAAAGCTTTCGGTATGAATAAGCTATAGACTTGCTTTCTTGTACAAGGACAGCGACGACTGCATTCTTGCTAGGGTCACACTCTACCTTGACATCGTTCTTGACATCATAGTAGGCTAGTATAGTTGCTTCGCAGAGCATAGATCTTTGATGCGTTGAAAAGCGTTTTCGTGTGATTTGTCCCAGCGGAAGACTTCTTTGTTATGTGCCGTAATTGCTCTTGTACCTCCGTTAAGTGTGGCAAGAACTTGTCTAGGTATTGTACTGAACCCAGAAAACGACGGAAATCATGTTTCTTCTTGGGTGCTGGCATTAGTTTTCATCGCTTTAACGTTCATGGATCCGCTTTTAGCCCATGTGCTGATATGAGGTGTCCTACATACGGCAATTCGCCTTTTCTGATCTTCACCTTGTCAAAGTTTAAACTTTAACTTCAAGTTATAACTCCGAGGCCGATTAAGGCAATTGTCGTAAGAGTTGTGGTCAATTTCGTGTTTTCGCTTCACTAGGTTTAAAGATTTGCAGACTTTTCCAGATAACACTGGATTATATGCATTGTCAATGATGAAGAATTTACCTTCGCTTGTTTTTTTTTTGTGTTTCAATTTTAGTGTGGCAAATCCTCTGGGTATGATCTGATGTTGGCTATATTATTAAGTCTCTAATGTGTTTTCATGATTCGTGCATTGGGAGCAACACTTTGTAACTGCTTAGCAGTCATGAAACTAACCTGCATGTGCACCAGTGTACAATTGGCATTCCAATGTCCCATGGCCAATTTGGACAGCTTTTACCCACCATTTTACCATCTCTCAGTAAGTCCTTTCAGCTGTCAAACTCGTCGGGCGTCAGGGTTTTGAGGTGCAGTAAATGCAACTTTTGGCTTGCTTGTATTCATCATCAGAACTGCCAGTTTTTTCACTCCACTGAAGTGTCCCATCATTCCACACATGCGGCAGGTTTGGTTCTTGGCTGGACATTTTTCATGTGGTTTGTAACTATTGCAACCATGCACATAGTTAACAATTTGATGCGGTTTGTCACTCTTTTTTAGTGGGTTCAGGAGTATCCGGCCTCATCTGATCCCTTCATCTGCGGAATTCGTTGGGTTTTGGTGGCTTCAAATAATCTCTCTATATATGATAGCTGTTTCTAAGGTTAAGTTTTCACTCTTTTCCAAACATCGTTGTTTTACCCCTTCATCCAAAAATTTACATGCTATAGCATTTCTGATTAGCTTATCTGTTTCTTTGATGCCTAAGCCACTAGCTAATAATTTCAAGTCGGTTCAAAATCATCAAATGTTTCTTTTTATTGATGGCACTTCCCGTCACATTGAACTGCTTCCATCTTTCTCACTTACTTGTTTGGGCTTAGCCTGTTCCGACTTGAATTGTTCCAACTTGATTTGTTTCACGCTTTTGATTTCCCCAGAATAATGAATTTTTTCTATTGAATGCACGCATTTGCCTTATTAACAGTTATTCTGCGAACTCGAGTCGTATATGAGCTGTTTTATTATCTACACAAACTTTGTCACCCTTTCGGTGCATTTTGGTGTGCTATTATCAACTAAAGTTTGGATTCCTATTTCACGCAACTCCCAAATCTTTCAGCCATTTTGTTTACTTTCTCTACTAGACAGATATATATGGGCTAATATCTGTCTAGTAGCCAACCAATGAAATTGCAGCATACCTCATACCTGGCGCTTGTGTGTATAAAATAATATATATTATTATATATATCAATTTTGTCTGTTCGGCTATTTAGTTTTGATTTTTGACTTTTCATTTTTACCTCTCGTCACTCACACTTATTATCTCGTACTTAAAGAATGAACAGCATGCTCTTTTCTTTAATCCTTTCCCCCTATGTACAGTTTAAACAATTAATTAAGCCCCGGCCTTAATTAAGTGCCATTATCACCCTGAACCTTAAAAAATACTCAATTTCTAAAGTAAAGAGCAAGTGAAGTGTAATAATTTTTTCCCATGTACCCCCCTACCTTCCCCTATTTTTGAGTTCACTATTAATATATAATAATTTCTCAGGTAAACACAAATGGAGTGATCTCTTTTCTTGTCCAAGTGTCACAGTATACTCCTGACGCATTCCCTCTTGGAGATAATCGACGTTTGATCGCACCATTCTGGGCTGATGTTGACACAACAGATGGCGGCATTGTTTATTACAGAGAAACTCAAGAACTTGCAATGCGAACAAGTGTCTCTAACGAAATTAAAAAGTACTTCGTTCGCCAAAGAAGCTTCTTAGCAAAGTGGATCATGATTGTTACTTGGCTCAATGTAGCTCAGTATGGTGGAGGTTCCACTTTGCGGGTAATTACTATATATATATATATATATATATATATATATATATATATATATATATATATATATATATATATATAGAAAGTTATTTCAGTGTAACAGACGTCTTAGTTTTGCAGTTATACTCAAATAACTTTCAATAAGTTACACTGAAATAACTTTCTTTAGATTCGTGAATTTTTAACATTTAGTATATACCATGCGTATTTTGATACAATATTCCCCGAGATATCAGCGTTTTACTTTAATACGTATTTTTGAAAAGTACTATTATTTATCTGTTATTATCTATTATTTACCAGTTAAGTTGGTCCGTATAGGGAAATATTTCCCTCTGTCTCAAAAATGTGGAAAGCGTTCAAAGCGTTGTCTTTTTACATAGAATACATTCCAGACGATATTAGCAACGGATGGTGTCAACTCATTTGCAATATTTTACTACAACAAAATTGAATGGACGTTTGGTCTTCATAGCAATACTAAAGGAATCTCTGCGCAGGTTTGTGGTGAATGTGTAATGACTATACTCATAATATTAGATTATCTCATCTTCATAAGTAAGCCATATAGAATGCGATACAGACCAAGGACCGGTTGGACGAAAGCCTGGCAGAGCCATCCGCCTGCAATAATTTTTTAAGCAACGAAAGACCGCGCGAAAGATCGACGTGTGATGCCGAAGTAGCCTGAGGCGTGCGTGTTTTTAATGAAAAATGCGAAAATTTGACATTTTGACATATCTTATTTATCCGTCCATAATCTCCGACGATCACAATAATTAAAAAGTATATAGAAGTTCAATTGTTTAAAAATGTAAATAAACCGCATGATACGTTCACTTTGTCTTACACTTTGCAATTCGGGCTTATATCTTCAATCCTTTGCGACGTGTCTACGCGCCCATACACGACCACAACTTGTTAAACGGTGAAATAGAAAACTGTGACGTAGATAAATACGGTCAAATATACTTTTTCAAATACTAGTATTTTCGCGCCAAAACTCACTTAATTGCGTGACGAAAAACAAAAAACGCAACAAAACAAAACAAATCCTAGGCGAATTTTCAACTTCGTTGCTCACGCCGGAGTAATTATTGGCAAAGGGGTTTGAGTAGGCGCAGGTATGCAGTACCATACCAAACAAACTGGAACGATAACTTCAGGAGGGAAAATTAAAGCCAGTGCTTTTTACTTTTTCTGGGTTATACATAAGCTGAAATAGGTACTGAACGCCAAATGTTGAGCCGTGTATGTAATTAAAGTTGAGGGTTGGTCTTCGGCCCGTAACCCGCATAAAAGACGTCGCACAATAAACCACAAAGAAACAAATAATGATGCCGATCTGCAAAAAGTGTTACCGAATATTTACGGTTTTCAAATTAACAGCAGCGTTTCCACAATGAAAGGAAATGTCCTTGCAATTGACAACAACAAGGGAGGGTGGGATCCGTGATAGCTAATAGAGTTTACTATGCATTCTTTTCAAAATTTTTGATTATTTGTTTCCATTTTTTGTCATTCCTATCCCCCTATTAGGCAGCCATATACAGATAAGTTGTGGAACCCTGATTAGTTATGCCGTCGAGAATTGAAATACAAGCTATTCTTTTCTTCCGCAAATACCAAGAAGCATGCAAGCAATACTTCAAAACCACTAAAAGAACTTCATTGCATTCTTTTTAAACAAATAAAATTTCACTTTGGTAACACGTCGTAATTTTGTTCCTTCTCCCCTCTAAAGAATGTTTTTTTCTATCTACATTTTTCTACTCACATTTTTCTATTCAAGGCTGGATTTAATGCTGGGGACGGTGTTCGATATTTTAATATTCCAAACTCTCGTACTTCTGAGATAATCAATATTTTATCGACATCAAACTATAAAAGACCTGGGATGTGGATTTTTCAGGTTGATGGAGAGACGGTTAAGAATACTGGCTGTGCATCAGGACGCGGTATTGTATATGTTAGACCATTTTTATAGCGTATAATAAACAATTATTGGATATCGATGAGGTTTTTGTGATATGCAGAGTTATCAAGGTCGAGGTAAGCGTTAACAGCCGAGCCGAAGGCGAGTAATTCCGTTACCAAAACGTTTCGAAACGACTATTTAATTGACCATAACAAAAAGATGGCAGAATGTACATTTTACCACAATGCATTGCTGGCATCAAGCATAAATTACTAGCAAAGGATGAGAAATAAATCACCTAATGATATAAAACTTTAACACAACTAAGAAAATAGCCTCCTTTATTATATCTGTCCTTCAAAAAACTTCAATTCGCTTTTAAAACGATTGCTGACCGTAGTGCATTCTGGTAAATCTTTTCGTTATCACCAATTGAACCAGAACGGCGATTTTTTCTCTGTAAACTTTATAGTAACTCTTGATGGGCATTATTTACGGTAAAGTGCGAGTAAATATACATGCGACACTCAAAATATCAAAAATTTTCGGTAATAGCGCAATATATCGTTTAGAAGAAGCTGGGCAGCTCTTCCCAAAAGGATTCAAATAAATTAAAGCTAAGTTAGCTTCACCTTTTAGCATTACTCATTCACTTAATTCGTACATAGCAAACAAACAAAAGGAATCGCCTATTTTTTTATAGGTAGCTACTTTGTGATAATCTGATGTTAGTGAAGTTAATTATTCGATTCCGTATCTAGCATTATGATTCAGCCCTGTTATTCAATTTTAGGCTATTATCATTAATTTCATTGAAACTGATTGTTCTCACAGCCCACGAACACCCAAATATTACCAAAGCGGGACTAATTAACATCTGGTTAAGCCACTGGCGTTAGTTGTCGACGCCGAGACAATTAGCATGCAGAATAACATTGATTAAATTTAATCAGTAATCAAATGCTCGAGAAGTTGATGTAGCTTTCCAAATTTAAAGTTTCTTCATTTTAAACGATATTTTATTGGTATAGTTAAACTTTCTCTGAGACTGATATATCATTTGTAGATCTGGTACTTTCTCCAAGGTCAGGAATTGAATTAGGAGGAACTGTGGTGTACATAGGGGGGCCGTGTTACAATTCAACTAATGACATCGTGTGTCGCTTTAACAAAAATTTGGAGTCAGCTGCAGAGCTTATCAGTCAACAAGCATATTGCGTTACACCTCCGTTAAATGTTACTGGACTTATGCCACTTGAATTATCTTTGGATGGTGGTACCACATACAATTACACTGGCACTTTCAGATCAAGTAATGCTATAAACTAGGATGTAAACTTTTGCAAAATTGCATATATAGTATTGAATAAATGCGTAACAAAACCTTTCGCCATAAATGGTATCTTCTTTCTTTTATATCTGTAAAATTCCAACTCCCTTAATCTACGAGAAATTAGCCTATCATTCAATGATAAGTCTACAGAAGGTAGACCGGAAATATTCTTTACCACCTATCATGTCATATCAATATTTTACATAATCTTCATTGATTGAATGCGCATTTTGCTAATGTACACGTCAGGATTTTGAAGCACCTTTAACTATATAGGTTTCTCTCCTATCTAGTTCCGATCGGACGAAATCCTCCAGATATCGAAGGGCTTGAAATGAAGCGTTGGGTAAACTCAACAAAAACAGTTTTGACTTGGGATAAAAATGCCATCAACGCGACCCACATTGATATTGAAATATCGCAATTTGATACTTTTGATTTCCGTCTTCACCATGGGAGCTTGAAAACATTTAAAAAGGTTCCAAACTCTGGAAATTACGCCTTTGATTTTGGCAAGGATAGCATTTCCTTGAATGCAGAGTAAGTTTTTTTGTACACCGATTTCAACCTTGCAAGCAGGTTTTTCTACCTATAACCTCCATGACCTCGCTGCAGCGAATAACCTGGTTGATGCTGGTCACGGAACATGGTACGTGGTCACGTTCAGGTTGATCACGTAGCAAAAGTCATATGCCACTTTTACTATTTTTAAGATTTCGGACAGTCCAGGTGGTTTTGTATACGATAAATAGCATACGATAAATCGTCAATGTTTAAGGTGCATGTGTCGAATCAGTTGAAAATAAATTTCTGCATTACAAGTTCTGTTGACATTCAATGAATACAGGCATTCGAAGGTCACACGTAACTATTTTCTGAATTTGGGTGTTGATCAGCCAATTTAGAGGAAAAATAACAATAAAATACAAGAAAAAACATACTCCGAAAAATGACATCTTGTAAACTCAAGATAATTATGAGCTATATAGAGACAACAAGACGATAATTTTAGGGTAATTATTTTGAATTCATTACTATTTCAAAGTCGTTGTCAAACCATAACAAACTATTTACAAACTTTCTATCATATTATATATACAAAGAGACAAGAAGAGATGACGTCATGGCGTAAGACTATATTATTAACAGCTCATGTTCATGATTAATGTTAAGACCGCGAATAGGTTTTTTCGACCATTATTTGGCACTGGCTTACTATATTTAATGTATAAAGCTTTAAGGAATAGCAGAAGGTTAGAGGCGTTTGTGAAGAATCTGTGTGTTAAAACACCTGTATATGAGATTGTTAAGAAAAAGAGAGAGATCGAGTAATGTATTATTATGTTTCTTTGCGGTATCATTGTCATCGGTGTCATAAAGTTTGTCATAAATAGCGTGTTCACATTCCGACAAGTGTTTAGCAATCGAACTTTTTTGTGGAACTGCATGTTCCGATAAACGGGTTGCCAAGTTTCTTTCTGTTTTGCCTATATATATGAACTGTTACAACCCGGATATGTGAATTCCTAAACAATATTAGTGCACTGCGAGTTAGGAATTTTGTCTTTTACGGTTAAAAAATATGACACCTTCTTGGTGTAATAAATTAATACAAATTTAACCAACTGTGTGAGATTCGGCTGTATTTTCTTTGAGGACTTTTTACCTAGGAATTCCTTTTCTCGGCAGACAGAGAGAATTTTTAGTTAAAAAAGTCGTCAATAAAATACAGCAGAATTTTGCACGGCCGGTTAAATATGACACTAAGAAGGTGTGATATTTTTTACCTGAAAAAGACAAAATTTCGACGTCGCAGCGCAGTAATATTGTTTAAGAATTCACTTGTCCGGGTTGTAACAATTCATATATGAGCAAAACGTGTCTACCAGTTTATCTGAGCATGCAGATCCACAAAAAAGTTCGAATGCTAAACACCTGTCGGAATGTGAGCACGCGAATTATATCCTAAGTTGCACCATCCGAGCTCCTTGACAATCTTTATGACAGCAATGACAATTCAATCAGTGATACCGCAAAGAAACGTAATACTATTGCTCTCTCCTCACAATCTCATACCGGTTAACAAACACATTCTTCACACTCTCAAACACACACCAACTCTAACCTTCTGCTATTCTTTGAAGCTTTACACATTAAGTATAGAACGCCAGTCGTATATAATGGTCTAAAAGCGTCAAAAGAACTCGCAGTCCTTACATAAATCATGAACATGAGTTGTTAAGGTGGTCTTATGCAAGAAATATTTTATTTTCAAAAATTTAAAAATCTTTTCATGCAATTATTGCAAGCCAAGTTGCTGGGAGTGAAAAAAAGGCTTGTAGGAATCTTTAATCACTATAGTTAGCCATGCAGGCCAGAATACTCAATGGTGGAATTCGAAATAGACGATTTTTGTTATTTGTAAACACGATAACAAACTAGATTTTAACTGTAGAACAACGGAATTATTTTTTTAGTTCTGAATATTTTTGACTAGGAGCTGAACATTAACGTTAAACGTGTTACAGGCAATAAATATAAAACTTCTGCGATATAATTATCGGTAATAAACAGTCGCTATTTTTCTTAGACTGAACGGAATACAAAACTTTTAGTCAATTCACATCTGAGCCAATTTTCTTTGAATTCAACAATGAGAATTTTATCAGGTTAGCTCTGTCACTTTTTGAGTTATCGTGCATGAAAGTAAGGAGAATGAGAATTTTAGTTTGCTGAGAAAAGCGCTGATAAAAGTTTAACATATTTTCATAAATTATAGAGAACAATGAACAACAGAATAATGAAGCAATAAAATAAGCTAATCGACCTCTTTGCTTCCTCTGGGTTAAAACCCTGAATAATGGTTTGTATAAGGGTTTGCATTCCTTGAAATTTTTAAAACAGAATAAATCGTGATTTATTTTGTCCACCTAAAGACCACCTATAAATAGTATGGTGTTTTGCTATGACGACATCTCTTCTTGTTTCTTTTTATATAATGTGATAGCAAGCTGGTAAAGAGTTTTTTCTGGTTTTGACATTGAGTTTTTTCTTGTATTTTATCAATTGTCTCTTGGTTACTGTTGGTTATTATATAACAATAACGATTGACATAGGTTTTTTTTTGCATTTACTGATGCAACGTTGAACTATGGAAGCTTCCTGGTAAAGATTCCTTGGAGTACAACAGCAACGGTAGTAGCTAATGTTACAAATTTCTTATAACCTGTTGGAGAAACGCGAGCACATCCGATCGAAAAACATTTTTTCGAAACAAATAGCTTCCTTTGGTTATTATTAGCATAATTATAAAAAATTTGTTCCACCCATTCCCAAACGGGGGAGGCGTGACAAAAGAATCACACGATCAGCATTGTAGAAAAGGCGAGGTTGCACCGAACGTCACTTGCATGACGTTTTGATAAAAACATCTATTTTTTATAATAGATTCTTTAATCATAAAAGATTAATGCGCAAAAAGACATTTTTACAGCTTTTTTGCCTTATCACAATAATAATATTATGCAATTTTTTAACACAAATACTATAGCAGGTATCGAGATATTCACGATTGACGGTCACCACGAGTTTACAATATGAGTAATATTGTCCATCCTAATAATAAAAATATTTATTGAATTCCTGGATGGTGCTTTTTTAATTTAGTCGTCTTTTGCATCTGAAATTATGGAAAACAATACTTCTTCTATGAAAAGCGAGTGTTTCAGGGGAATATTCCTTTTACAACCTATACACAATTAGTAGCAAATCTTAAAAAAATTGCATGCAGTAGCTAACAGAGCGGATTTTCTATACATGCATTACCCGAAATTCTTACTTTCGGTTATATGAATTTTAACGACAATACTGCAATCTTTTCAATTAAATCTGGTCTTTCCTTTAAGAGGGAGACGAAAACGAAGAAATTCAAATGCAGGATCCGAGATTGCAATCGTCAGCATAACGCCATCGTTAACGAGAAAGAAACGATTTTTGGGTAAAGTTTTTAAGTTTGTTGCAAGAAGCTTTAGTTTACCATTTCTAATAACTTCTTGGCTGGCAAATGAGGTGTACTGCAGAACTTGGCATGGATTTCAAAACAGGGATAAAAATAAAAGATTGCGAGGTATAAAAAGTACAATTATACTCATATTAGCAAATATTTTATTTCTCCACATTTACGAATTAATCTTTTTAGGTATATACAGGGTGTATAAAAAAAAGGTAATCCATCTTCAACACGCTATTGTACGTGAACTACTATCGGATGACATTTTTTAATACCAAATGGTGAAAAAATGAGCACATACGAGGCTGATAAAAAATGTTAGTCACAATCGCATATTTTCCATTTGAGCCTAATTAAAGCAGTGCATAACAAAAGAAAAAAAAAATTATCACAAACATGTCACAGCTTGCACTGATTTTATGCCGCATTGCTTAGAATATTCTCCTGTTGTGATTTATTCCTACTTAATACCGCATAGTTTATTCAAAAGCAAATTCTTCAATTAAGTCGCAAAGACAGTTAATGGTTTTAGTCCCAACTCTCAGAGGTGAAAATTTGACTAACACTTTTTATTAGCCTCCTATTTGTTCATTTTTTCACCATTTGGTATCAAAAAGATGTCACTCGATAGTTAAAAGCCTAACCTTTCCGAATGTGGAAAAAATTCGTTAATAGAATGAGTAGTTCACGTACAATAGCGCACCAAAGTTGGATTACCTTTCTTTTGATACCCCCTGTATAGCTAGCTAGCTTGCTTCACATAGTTGAACAAAATTTCCTAGTGTTTGCTTAACCTGCATGGAATCCCTGCTATCATAAGTAAGAAAATGATGCAAATCGCAATGTTATTGCTAAAATAACAAAACAAATTCATATAATATATTCCTTTGGAGATACGGCAGGACAAAATATTTAGACAATTAATTATTATGCATTGCTAACGCAATCTCGATTGTGATTGGCTAAAAACCTACAGATAATTCTCAATGTCTTGCCACCTACACGACATTGAAAATTATCCGTGGGTGACGTAATTTTTACCGCTAGTTTGTTGTCAAACTTCGTCTTTAAAAAGGAAATACATAATAAAACAATTATTGAATTCGATTTTCGCATGATATCGAGAATTATCAAGCCTCAGTTTGCGTTATCCGCCTCAGCTTCGCTTCGGCAAACAACGCAAACTTCGGCTTGATAATTCTCGATATCACACTCAACCTCATCCAATAATTGTTAAATATATGGCGGCGGCTTTAATAATGTTTCAGTAAAATATAGAACAATGTAAGAATGCATAATCTTTTGTGTGAGACTGACGATTTTTGCTAAAATTTCGCAACGTTTAATTTTTGTACAAGATCATGCAGTATAAACAAAAAATTTGACGAATTTCATATATAATTATGCAAACTAGCTTATCTTCCGAATAATTAATTTTATTGTTTGTATTAATAACCGAAAGCGGTACAAATTTACGATCGGATACTTTATAATAATTACAATTATTAAAATTTTGTAGATGAGTTACCTCCATGTCCTCCAAGGGTTGAACAGATAGAATTTGACGATCGATTCAAACCTGATGAAGCAGGTTTTCTCAGCGGCTTTTTTCATCCTGGAAGTACGTCTTGTTTCCGCTCAAGGGAAGCTAGGTACGAGCTAGGAGCGGGGAGCATAATACCCGAGAAGGTGCGGCGAGGTGTTGTGTAAAAACACAGCGGAATGCAATGGTCTAAATTTTATCTGATGAACGTTGCTGCACGTTCACTGGTCCTAGTATTTGTGCGCGCGTTCCCGAAATTTTAGAGTGAAGACGATAGAAACAGGTAATCATTAACTTGCTAATCGGCTAAGACAAAAAGTTTAAAATTAAAATGTATTCCATCGAGAACGCCAGCAACTTAACTGTCATCTTGCAAACTAATTCATAAACGTTTCGTAAACATTATAAATCAAAATGAAATGTGGAATAATCATTTTGGTAATATATAGAGTCAACTGCAGTCATTACATAAATATTCGAGAAACATACAAGATTCGACATTCAGCAGTCCTTACATCAATAAAAATTAAACCTTTTATACATGGGGAGATGTTTACTTCACTTTTATATAATATAATTTATTTGCTTACGACAGCATCAACTATCGGCTCATTTGAGTCATTTGATAACTAGAAATACATGCATGCAAGCAAAATCCACAAGCCTGAAGCAATTAACATATTAATGTTATAGTACTCGTTTCTGCTGATGACTTACCGTATATGTTACATAAAGTAAGATCCTATATCATGTACAATTAAGTTGGTTTTAAATACTACAATGCTTAGCGAAATTTCTATTCCTTTTTAAACACATTTACGTTTAAAAATAAATTATTTCTCAATGAAAACCAGTCTCACGAAATTGATGCATTAATTCAAAAAGGTGTCATACAATTGTTTTAACAGTACTGTCCAGAAATAACCTATAACACTGCAGTTCTATCGATTCAAACGCGCACGCACGTAATATAATTATACGTATGAAATATTGCATGCGAAAATCCTTATACTAATTTTGCAAAGTGGTAAGGTTTTTTCGTGCGTATAATGCAAAAGAATATGAAAATTTAGTCAACGCCCCAAAATTTAACATTTTGCAACAAATTTCACTATTTATTAGTTTTGGAATGTTCTTTCGCGCTGGACTTTTCTAAAATTCAGTTAAAACAGAAAACAATTTACAGTCTATAGTTTATAACGAGGATTGAGTGGTTACTACATTTTTCTAATCAATTTGAGTGTGCGTCAAGTTGATGAATTTGTGAGACATTCGCCTATTCGCTTTGCAAATATCTCTATATTGCGTTACTTGCCGCCATTCACCATGCATGTGATTTTTTATCCTACATAGCTGTGCATTATTGCTAAAAATTTAGCAATTAAAACGCAATTAATTTTATATCAATATACTCAAGCTAATAATTATAAGTTATATTGGCTTGACATATTAATAATAGCTATTCATTCCATGTTTATTATAAAATAACATTTTTCTTTTAGTGCATCAGGTGCAGGTCAACAATGTTGTTATAAAGGTGATTCACTCTTGGTTGGACCTCCTGGCGGCGGTACATTTGACATTGTTTCCCCAGAAAGAAGTGTACTGGGCCATTTAGGACGAGATGTGCTACCTTGGTTCGCATGCTGTGTATTTTCTGTTTTCGACAACTGTGGTAAATACTATGATGCAAGACCCTCTGATGATGGTTCAAGATTCATACCTCAACCAACTGGTAAGTACATTGTTAAGTATCGTGCCCTATATATATATGAAAAATAATCCAAAATCATTCACCGAAAAACAGGGTGCCGGGTAATTTTGATGATGAATTTTTCGAAGCCAAAGCAAGATTTCTTCCACTTATAACTGAACATTGTTCACAGACCACTAGACCCAAACACTAATTGAGATGTCATGCATGTGATAAATTGCGGTCGCCGGAAAATTTAATGACTGAAGATTTTGTGAATTTTGTTGCGAATATATAGCTGGCACAAGAGGTGATCCTCATTTATCCACATTTGACGGAACGTTCTACACATTCAACGGTTATGGTGAATACGTCCTTCTCAAAGTCAGCAATGGTTCGGAACTCGAGTTTCAAGGAAGAATGGTACCCATACTTGATAACAAAGGAAGAACAACAAGAGCAACAGCCCTCACAGCATTTGTCATCAAGGGAGTAACGAGTGATACTGTGCAGGTTTGTGCACACTAGTGTTACAATTATGAGATCGAAACACGATTTTATTCTTCTTCGCAAGTTTAGTAGACTGGTTATTATTAATTACGAAGGGTTCTAAAAACAAAAGTAAAGTTAAGTAAAATGTACTACGCCATGATTATTTTGCTTTATTGTGAAATTATGTCGGCTAATTAGACCGTTTTTGTCTGCAGATTGGTCGTTATCTTCCCCCTCCCCCCTTCTTGCAAACTTATCCTTAACAATTTCTATTTTGCATGCGATGGATGGACTTGAGTGTTTACGGTATATTTATTACTTCTAGTGAATAACGAATATTCATTTTTATTATATGTGTACAGAGATTTATGCACAGCAGAATGATGAAATAAAAATCGTTTTCAGTGTGTTAATTAATTTCATTCAATTTTACTGGACGTACGATGTTTTTAATTATGATAAAATGCTATACGTAAAATATTCTTCCGTACGATATTCTTCACACGTGAAAAATTGTCGTATGTCATTTTGGCGGCAATTTGTTTACATTCTCTTTGAAGATGCCGTCGAAATATAGGAGTGAAATATAAAAAATAATTCTCATATTCAAGATATTTTTACATTCAGCACATTCTCAAATATTTCGGAAGGAATATCTAACTTCTATTAAAAAAAATTAAAAAGAAGCTGGACGGTAATAAGTATGTGTGATATATAAAATTTCAATTTTTGTTGCTCGCTGTGTTTTTGTATATTAAAAGCGTGTCGTTGTCAATTAAATTGATCTTAATACACATTTAATAAACAAATTACTTCATGGTTGGCCCGTTTGTATGATTTTCATTTTGAACTCGTTGTTAAGGATCGCAAGCTCATTCGTTCACTACGCTCACTCGTTCGTTTTGCAATCCTTCACAACTCGTGCATAAAAATCGTACGTATTCGCCAACCAAGAAGTAATCCCTATATACCGAATATTTGTATGGAGCAATCCGTAAAGAAAAAAAATAACATTGGTCATTGGTCAACATTGTCTCCCACCGGCAGAGTTATTGACACTCGTAAGGGAATAAATGCTTTTTAAATATTCATTATTTTTTTAATTTTATCCACGATTTATTATCTTTTATCACTTTTTCGAGAAAATATTTTGACTTCATTTAGTTCGAGTTCAACAACCGGCGCAGCATAGACGTGTTAGTCAATGGTGAACGGGTCGAATTTGACGAACAAACAAGATTAGACTTCACTGGAGTCTTTATTGTTAAACAAAATGAGTCAATATTTAGAACATACTCCACACCAGGAGTAGCTATTGTGGTGACATCTGTAGAAGATTTTCTTACATATCAAATTTCAGTACCATCAAGATTCAAAGGTAATAATTAGTTCACTTTTAGTAAATTGTATGGATATGGGTTAGGGGTGTTTACATTTTAAACGAAAAACGTTCCCGGGATGTAGTGACTAAATTTCTGGTTCATTGCCCTCTCTCATTATGTAGACTAAAAAATATTACACAATTAATCCCAATGCCTTCGTCTGAAGAATGTGGTTATGTGTGGGCATATACAAGTTGTCGGCGCAACCTGAGTCTCCGGGTTCAAAACGCACAGTCTCTTTTAGCGTTAAAAGCAGATGATATTGCTACATTGTGTATAGAGTTTACTTACGAGAATCAAATTGGTAAAATGGCTTACTTTGCCTCTATTCCATAACACCCACTGCATGTATACCTAAAACAATTGAGCCTCGTTTTCTTTATAACACTGCGTTTCCTAAAACTTCATGGGTTTTTTTAACATGTCACATCCAAAAACGGATGAACATCTACCCTTTTCTACATAATTTATGTTTAGGGAAAACTGCTGGTCTTCTTGGATTTTGGAACGATGACAAGGATCAGGAATTTTTATTGCCTAATGGCAGTTTTATTGATACAAATTCAAGTTATCGAACAATTCACAATGAATTTGGCCAGAAATGTAAGTTATCAATTCTTAAGTGGCAGTTTTCTGGGATACCTACCTATTATATGGATACGTAACTCTAATGATTTCTCGCTATTAGCCACATCCTGACGTCTTTATTTACACGAACTTCTTTTTCTCCATCACTGCATCATCAACGTGTCATCATATATCTATAAACATATAATTATATTTCATCAATGTGTAATAAAGTCACATTCCATCCATCCACTTTTCTGAAAACGTACAAAGTTGCGACTCTTGGAGTATTTTAATCACATTAAGGTCAGCGGTCGTCGAGGTCAATGCCACATATTGTTGTAATTTCCCTGTGTTTTAAAGAAACATTCATTGTACCTATAAAAGTTATTCTAAATGACTTCCAAAGAAGTATAAAGTCATGTAAATATCTCTTCAATTTATACAGGGATTGTGGACAGGAACAAGACTCTTTTTACGTACCATGTCGGGAAAAGTTACGATAGTTTTTCAAATCCCAACTTTATTCCGGTCTTTCTTGACGAAACAAAATCCTTGTTTTCCAATGCTACTTTGGCGCAAAAAGCAAGGAGTATATGTGGGGAAAATGAGGAATGTTTGTTCGATATTGCTGTAACAGGTAAAACAGATATTGGTGAGGCGACGTTGCAATCCTTTAATGAAATACAGAAAAGAAAAAATGCGTCAAAACTTGGTCAGGAAAATAATAAATTATTAACTAGTCTGCCACTAATATGCTTATTTTCATGCCTGCTACACAGGCAATTTTTCTTGCTACTTCACATGCAGCTAAGAAATTCTACTTTCTAGAGATTTAAATTTGTGAGAATTCTTCAAGGTGTAGGTGTTTAAAGCGTCCAGGTTGCGAAATAAACACAAGGTTTCGTGGTTGCTAATTTTTAAAAAAGTATATAGAATTGTTTCTAACGTTAACTTGTGCAATGTAGTTTGAGAGTGTATATTTCAAATTTTTCATATTTCAAAAAGATTTAATTAGCCTCAATAGCTGCGGGTACCCATATTAGCGGTGCCGTGCCGGTAAATCGACTACAGTGTAAACAGGGCTAATATTAACCCTTCCTTGCATGTGGTGATTGTTCTTTCTTCGATCCTAAATGACGCTAGCGAAGATTAGGAAAATATTTTTTTTCGTTTTCTTCAAACAAGCTGCACAGCTAAAATTTCTAATCTATGAAACTTAAGATATATATATATATATATATATATATATATATATATATATATATATATATATATATATATATATATATATATATATTATATATATATAATATATATATAATATATATATATATATATAGTGTAACACTATATGTAATAAACTATGAAAAGACTTGATGTTTTGCAGTTGCCAAGCGTATTTTCTATGGTTGCGATGGAGTCGAAAACAGTACGAAGAAAGTTGATTTTTGTGGTGATTGTGGAGGAGACAACTCATCGTGCACAGATTGTGAAGGTCGCATCAAACCTGGTTTTCTTAACAATGAAACATGTGGTAGGTTTTTTCTATGAATAATAACAAGGTAATCAGGCAGTATCAACTTTCAAGCATTATATATCGATCAATTAGCTAAAAATATTCACATAATTCGATAGGCAAAAGAAATTATGCATGTGGCGAGACCTCATTACTTTTGATATAGGTTCCTATCAGCCCTGGAGCGAGTGGAGTACTTGCATCGGCGAAGATGAAAAGGGAACGAGAGAGCGAAATCGAACATGTTCGAAAAAAGGACAGTGTCTGCAATTGGGTCAAAATACGGAACAAGAAGAATGCAATGTTGACGGTAAGTTTAATCATATTAAAAGATGACTGGAGTCGCACTTATACTTATGTACATTTCATACATACATAGCCGTCTTCAACGTTTACTATCATTAAATCGCCGTAGCGTTGGTACATGCATTATGAAACTTTTTCCCTACGTATATGGTTGAACTGCTCTATGGAACGAAATAATTGATAGAACATCCTGGATCGTGCAGAAAAAAATGCATCATGCACGAAAACAAACCAATACGTATAAATTAATTTACTCAAAAAAATTACTCATTTACTAAAATGATCGTTCGAAGTTGACTAGTTGCCAAAACGTTTTTAAGCAGCTCGGCGAACAGTACCAGAAATGTTGATTGCAAACTTCAAAGGTATTATGCATTGGATGAAATGCAAATTTGCACAAAAATGGCAGTTATTATATAATTTTGTCCCTTCTTAATTCTGGTAGACTAATTGTCGTATAGTAACAATTAGATATATTAGAAATGATGGACACGTGAACAGCGCATGCATATGATTAACATAAGGATTGGGAAAATAACATTAGTATTGTAAGAGAGGAGTAGAAACATTAAATAAAACTTTAATAGAAAATACATCGATATAAATCATCAAGTTACGACATTTGGCGACAAGAAAAGAAGAATGCCACCGCTTGAACCAGAGGCTAAAACGTCTCAGCAAAACGAAAGCAGTCCAGAATTACAGGCAAATCAGCAAGCAATTGGTTCGTTGAACACGGGAGCCCCTCGAAGCGGCTTACCATCTTTTGCACCGTTTGACCCTCCCAAAGACTGCTCTACAGTGGGACAACGCTGGAGAAAATGGATCAAACGATTTGAAAAATTACTTATCAGTTTACGCGAATTTGATTCGAGAGAGTAAAACGCGGTTTACTTCTCAATTATGTCGGCGAAACAACGAATGATATTTTCGACAAACTGCCTGAAACCGGAGACGATTACGAAACCGCCATGTCCAAATTAACCAAATCTCGAACCTACAAGCAACACAGACATGGCTATCTTTGAGTTTCGCGAAATGAAGCAAGAACAAAGAGAGATACTGAATGCCTTTTACCGCCGATTAAGAGAAAAAGCAAAATCCTGCGAGTTTCATGACGAAGATCGTGAAATCAAGACGCACATTATTCATAAAACAACTGATTCAAGATTACGTCGTAAAGCTCTACGCGAAACTATGACACTCCAAGCTCTTTTAACGTACGGAAACACATTGGAAAAGACGGCTATTGACTCCAAGAAGATCGAACGCACACAAGAAAGCAAATCCGGAGCGACGGTGAATCAAGCATACTCCATTCGAAAAAGCCAACGTCAAAGACATCAACGACCCCGTTATTATAATCCTCACACTCAAGGTCAACACAAGTAGCAACAGTATGAGTATGACCCACGAAAACCATCAAATAAACAATGCCGGAATTGTGGAGGACAATTTGCACACGAAGGAGACAAGACAAATTGCCCCGCACACGGAAAAACCTGTCACAAATGCCAGAAAATCGGTCATTTCGCCAAGCATTGTTTGTAAACCCCGAAAAAAGATCCAGCAAAAATTCGACAGCTCCAAAAAGAAACGAGGTCATCTTTTGAAGATTCTGATGAAGAATTCATCTTCAACATAACAAACTCAAAAAAAGCATCCACAGTCACAGTTCAGATTGAAAACATCCCAGTACGACTAATCGTTGACTCAGGTTCATCTGTGAATCTATTTAACAACAGCACTTTTAAACAATTGCAAGCTAAGAATAAAAGCATCAAGCTATCACAATCAAAGACCAAAATTTTGCTGTATGGAAGCACCTCACCACCCGAGATGGAAGGGCAGTTTTACATCACAGTGCACTGTAAACAGCACAAGACCAACGAAACGTTTCAAGTCACCAAGTCTGAAACACAGAGTTCGCTCAGCTACAAAACATCCACGGAACTTAGTATATTAACAATCGAAGTCCACAACCTGGCAAGAAACGGTGATATTCCACCAGAAATCGAGGCACTAATTCAGAAACACCAACCATTATTCACAGGAACTGGCCATCTAACGCAGTCAGCTCGACGAATCCCACATGGCCACATAGCGTGAAACAAGTTGTGAACAAGAAGCTAGAAGAAATGCGCCAACAAGGCATAATAGAAAAGATCAAAGGTGCAACACCATGGTTGTCATCCCTTGTTGTCATTCCAAACAAATGTGGCGATGTTCGTTTAGTTGCCGCCATGACATGCATGAGAAAAGCAAATACAGCCCTCAAACGAAGACGTATTCAAATTCTAACCGTAAATGAAATCCTACAGAAGATGCAAGGAGCCACAGTTTTTACAGAACTCGACCTATCACAGGGATACCTTCAGCTATCTCTTACACCTGAATCCCGTTTCATCACAGCGTTTCCAACCCCTGACCACGGTCCTCACCAGCTCACCCGGCTCGTCATGAGGGCTTGCCCATCTAGCGAGTACTTCCACGAAAAGATTAACGAGTTCATAAGAGAAATTCCTAACTGCGAGAACATCTTGGATAACATCTGGCTTTGGTCAAAAGATGGCTCACCTTGAAAGGTTATTCACCACCCTACAGTCCAGCGGATTAACAATTAAGTTTCCAAAGTGCTCCTTTGCCCAGCCCGAGATCAACGCTTTTGGACACATTGTGTCTGCTAAAGGGATCCAACCTGACCAAAAAAAAATTGAGGCAATTGCACAAGCTCCACATCCGAAATGCGCATCTGAAGTTCGTTCTTTCATTGGCTTAACGAACTATTGCTCACGCTATATTCCAGATTATAGCACCATCACCCAACCGCTGCGAAAGCTCACCAAATCGAATATTCCCTTTGAATGGAACAAAGAACAAGAAAGCCACATCAGCAACCTGTTTTAGCCCATTATGATCTGAACGCACCAACCAAGCTGGTAGTTGATGCTTCTCCTTGGGCAGTTGGAGCCATACTCCTACAACAACAACCTGACACCAACTACCGTCCAGTCGCTTATGGAAGTCGTTCACTCACTACCACGGAAGTCAAGTATGGTCACATCGAAAAGGAAGCTCTCGCACTCGTATTCGGATGTGAACATTTTCACATGTACCTGTTTGGCAGAAAATTTGAGCTTGAAACTGACCATAAACCCCTTGAATATATCTTCCAGCCTAAATCAAGTAAACCACCTCTACCTCGTATCGAGAGATGGCAACTTCGATTGCAAGAATGCGATTTCGAAATCGTATAACGTCCAGGTCCTCAAAACCTAGCAGATTCCCTATCAAGATTGACACCAAAACAACCACCATCAAAGCACGGCAACAATGCGGACAGATATGTTAACCTTATCGCCCAACACATGTCACCTCGAGCAATCGACACAGAAGAAATTCGTGCGCTCAGCTTCTGTCCATGACCCAGAACTGCAGCTTGTTTGAAAATGCATCATTAAAAGTACCCCATACAAACTCCCCAGTAGTTTTAAACGCGTAGCTAGCGAGCTATGTGTGGCAAAGACATCGTTCTCCGTGGAACTCGAATAGTTCTTCCAAACGAATTGCGCATGAAAGCTATTCACAGCAGCTCCAGCAAACATCGAATCAGATCAAAGTTATGGTAGCCGGGTATGGATAAAGACGTAGAGGGACTCGTTAAATGCTGTAACCCTTGTCAAGTAACTGGTCAACCAACCCAACCAACCCCACTCAACTCGACTCCACTACCGAGTGGCCCCTGGGAATATCTAGCCCTCGACATCTGTGGTCCATTTCCAACTGGAGACTATGCATTAGTCTTGATCGATTACTACTCTCGATGGGTCGAAGTAGAAGTTGTTACGACCACCACATCAGCAAGAATCCTCAAATGGTTAAATTCTGTTTTTGCCACTCGTGGCTATCCCATCACACTGCAAACCGATAATGCGACCTACTTCACCTCTGTGGAATTCAGAAATACCCTCAAGGATTGGGGAATCAAACCACGTACAGTCACTGAATACTGGCCCCAGGCGAATGGATTGGTGGAACGATTCAACCAAATCCTCCTGAAGTCTATCCAAACCACCTTAGTTGAAGGAAAGGATTGGAAGGAATCCATTCCGATAATGCTTCGCAACTATCGCACAACAGGGAAAACACCAGCATTACTTCTAATGAACCGAGAGTTGAGCATCAAGATACCTAGTATCCAACAAGCACCCAGCAACCCACTTGCCAGTGAGATCAAGAAAACTGATGCAGATTCGAAACGGAAGTCCAAATTGCTAGCTAAAAAGAAAAGAAAAGCCAAACCTCGTCAATTTAAGAAAGACGAATTGGTCCAATTAAAACAACCGCATATCAATAAATTTTCAACAACGTTCAACCCGGACCATCTCACAATAATCAGCATCAACCGCTCTCAGATTGTTATGCGAAGCAAAACCGGACAAATCTATCGCCGAAATTCATCCCATGTGAAAGAGTTTAATCAACCAAACGCGCCAACCGCAGAACACATCAACGATGAAGACTTACAAGATTTCATACCGCCACAATTCAACTGGTGAAGAACAAGAAGCCCGGCCATAACCTTTACCACCAAACCCACTAGACCCACCTTTAAGAAGATCCACCAGATAAAGAAAACCGCCTAGCTACTTCCAGAATGAATAGATGGATGAGGAACACTTTAGTCAGTGACGTTTACACTCGTTAACATCTAACAATTGATATTCTTTGAATAGTGAAACTTTCCCAAAAAGGGAGGTATGTCGTATAGTGACAATTAAGTATATTTAGAAATGATGGATACGTGAACGGCGCATGCATATGATTAAGATAAGGATTAAGAAAATAACATTACAATTGTAAGCGAGGAGTAGAAACATGAAAAAAAACTTTAATAGAAAATACATCGATATAAATCGTCAAGTTACGACACTAATGTAAACAAGAATTTCCAAGGGTGTAGCTCAATTGGAGGTCTGTCGGTCAGTCTATCTCTAATTAATGCATGCTAAACATTAGAAACGGGAAAAGTATATATATAAATATCACAGGTTCTTCTGCAATACCGTCGATAATAGAACAGAGAGACGCTAGTTGTTTTCACTAGGCCAGTGATAACCGTACCAGCAACATGCACGCGCCAATTGAATGCAATAGACCGATAACTCAGTGCACTGCCGCTGGTGAAGTACACTATGTTGTACTCTTTAAAAATAGTTCTTAATTATGAGTTGAGTTTAATAATATTTAAACAGGGATGTCCTATTCAGCAAATGCTGGTTTAAAAGGAGCCCTGTGTTTATGATAATTACAAACTCTTACACCATACAAAAACAATACTACATCCGGACAAATACTTAACGATATAAATTAAATGAATAAGTTAATAATTAAAGTCCTTTTAAGTAATTTTTAAGACGTCTCTTAAAAGTTAGAAAATTTTGTTCACTTCTAAGATTATTTGGAAGAGTATTCCATGTTCTTACACCATTTATCCTAAATGAACTTTGATATTTAGTGGTTCTTGCAGCAGGTGGACGAAGTAGGTCTCTGTTTCTTGTGTCATATGTTTGGAATTCACCTGAATGATGAAACTCGTCTAATAAATACTCAGGTGCCATATTATTTAGGCACTTATGTACCAGTAGACATATATGGTAGGCTCTTCGTGATTTTAATGATTGCCAGTTGAGAGTGCGGATCAGGTCAGTTTGGTTTACTCTGTGACCTTCGATGATTCATGCCGCTCTTTTTTGAAGTTTGTCCAAATACTGTTGATTTGTTTTACCACAACTATCCCATATAACACAACAGTAGTCAAATAATGGCAGTATCATCGCATTATACAGTATAACGCATGCTTGTCTTGGTAAAATCTTACGTGCCATACGAAGCAATCCCAATCTTGATGATATCTTTTTGGCGATATAATCAATATGAATGATCATTTCAAGTAAGTGCTGGATCTAAAATAACACCAAGATATTTGAATGTATAAACTCTCTCAAGAGTAATTTGTTGATTATCAGCATCCATTGCCCTAACAGTGAAGTTTGTAACTTTACTCAATCTCTGATGAGTTCCAACCAACATCACTTTCGTCTTTTCATAATGTAAGAACAAATAGTTTCCATTTAACCAAGTTATAATCCGCTCCAAGTCTTCGGACAATTTAGATTCAATCACATTTACCGAAGGACTGCTGACATAAAGTAGTGTACGTATCATCAGCATATAACTGAATACAACAACAGTTTACTACAGAGGATATATTGTTAATATAAATTATGAAGAGTAATGGTCCCAATATTATGATTTATCATTTGTCGGATTTTGTTCGCTGTTTATGTATATTCAGCAATATTTTATAATAATTTAACAACAATTAATTAGCAACAATTTACCAATGTTTTACAGAAGTACGTACTCAATTTATCTACAAGCATAATGTGATGTTAAACGACGCGGTCTTTTTATCGATATATATATATATAATTATATATATATATATATATATATATATATATATATATGTATATATACATATAATGCATTGGTATTTTGCCCCTCCCCCTGTTCCTTAAGTTAAATTCTAGATTAAATTATTTTTTTGGAATATGTCAAAAAAAATTATTTTATTAAGTTTTGTGTGTGTGCAATAATTATATACTTTCGTGCAATAATTGAAGCTGCGAATTTAGTTTCACGTTTGATATATCAAGATTTATTGTTGAACAGTGCGTAGAACTCTGTTTGAACTCCAAAATCAGTGTATTAAATACAAATACTGGCAAATGTTACAACGACATGTCACACCTACATACTGAACTATACTACATAGCTCCAAGAGCAAAACAATACATAACAAAACGGTGTTTATTCGAATAATAAGAATAATGTCTTGTGACAATTTAGCCGCTCGTTCCCTGCCTTGAACAATTAATTCAAATTTTATGTTTTTTTTGTTCATTACAGACGATAAAAAAGCGTTAAAGTTCTATGCAGTTGTGATTGGTATTCCTGTTGTTGCTATACTTCTCATCATTGTATTTGCTGCATTTTGTAAGCGCTGCTGTTTCAACAAGAAGCCATCTTCTGCCTCAGGCAATTCACATGTTTCTAGTCATCATAATAATGCTTATGGGCCTAGCTACATAAAGTAGTTTAAATGTTTTTGGTTCATTTTTTCAGGTAGAATAGCATGCACTCTATATAATTAAGTATAAAACAAAATCTTTTCTCCATTATGATGCCTCTCTTTTGTCGATACCTTTTATGAGAGCTTAAATTTTCTAGAATAGGAATATATCAACTTACACTGAACTTGCATGTGCTTGTATTCTAACATAGGCGTAAAAAGACTATTTTGCTGTGAAGTATTTAACCAGTAATTAATTTTACATAAAGATATGTGTGAGCAATGATAGAATTTCTACGAATGTATTCCCTTCTTTACTACAATTAAACGCAATGTTATATCGCTTTTTTCCTGTTTTTCTACCTATTTTCTAACAACTGTTAAAGGAAGTGAATGAAAATAATATATTGCGATTATAATTACCGAGAAGCTAGTAATATTAGTAATATCATGGCTGCCTCGAAATCCTTTGTTTTACTAGTACTGGTTAACAACTAAATAACCCGATGCATATACATTAGGGACGATTACTAACTAATCGTCCTTAATGCATATACATTAGGGACGATTACTAACTAATCGTACCTAATATATATGCCAAATACCCGCCTTTGTTTTTTATTTATCTCCCAGTCAGAAATAAGCACACATTAATTTTTTTTCTATTGATATTAATGTTAATATTCACACTCTCTACATTTGCGCCTTGCAAAATTCCTGGGATATTTATTTGTGACTGGCTCTTTTCATAGTCAATGCCCGCATCTACTAATAACCTATATCTTCTTCGCTTATAGCTACAGACTGTGTTGACTCAGTTTTATCATTACAACTACTTGACGCTTCTCCCGTATTAGGTACTGAACTCTTCGAGCTTGATAACGCATTCGATACTTTGATCACAGCATTTGCGTCTTCTCTCTGATATGCCCTAACGCCTTCGCTTGAACGATGGCCACTTCTCTTCATGATCATCTTTTCCGCTAATCCTGAATCATACATGCAGGTAATTGCTGTAGCACGTATAGAATGGTTAGTGAAATTACCAATTAAACCAGGCTGTCTGCACATTTCTTTGAAACGACTCTGAAGTACATTGTGGCCAATTTGGACTTCTCTCGAACCAAAGCTCATCACCATATTTCCATTTTTCTCTAGTCCTCAGAAATAATGCAGCAACACCGACATCTTAAGGACTATAACAGGAATAGTATAAAACCAAACAGTCTGATTGCAATATATTTAAAAAAACATAATCAAAACAGCTGACAGTATGCACTCACCATGCACTTGTTCACGTAAAAATGGTATATAAAACTGAATGATTTCTCGTCTAGTGGATCCTCAACGTGCTGGACAACTTTCCGTTCAACTTTTCTCCGTTTCAAACCACCTTGATTCGTCTTGGATACCTTTTCTCTGTATGTTACACACATAGCCCCGTCTGGCCTCAAATTCAATTTGGTCGTGTGTCAACGAACGCAGCTCCCTTCCTCCTCGCATCGCCGAAAAAAACAATAGCGTGTTAATTACCACCTCTGGGCTGTGTGTTCCAAATACTCCCTTTTCCCACATTGTCGTCTCATCGTTAACAGAAATAGCATCAGATTGCTTCTTAAACGGTTTCTGGGTAGCTTGCAATTCTTTTAGTCGCCCGTCAAGAGTTTTTTGAAAGGGCACCAGAGCTGTTAAGTGAAACAAAGACAGTTCTGAACGTTTCTCTTTAATTAGGTAATTGATAAAAGGAGAATAGTTGACGAATAGTGCGAATAGTGGACGAATAGTGCGAATAGTCGACGAATAGTGCGAATATTCGACGAAGAGTGATCAATAATGCGAGTAGCCGGCGATATATGTCTGCTTTCGAGGTAAATAGTGAGTTTCTTCCCAGACGTAAATTCGAAGAAAACAATGAGGCTTGAGGGAAAACAAAACTCAGTATTTCCGGAGGGAACATCATATTACTGTATATAGCAACGAAATGATATAACTAAAATTTGAACTTTAAACACTAGTTATATAACGATACTTTAAAAAATAAATACAAGGATAATCAGTGAACTTCCGATACCTTTTAACCTCCAAGTTCACTTAGTAAACCTCATTAAGAAACACAACAGGTAGCTATATAAATCTCAAACAAATAAACAAGAACGGTGTTTAGTCGACAAAGACAATAGTAGCTAATTTAAATCAATTGTACATGCAATCCAGAGGAATGAACATTCATTTTAGTCTCTTCCGAAAAGTTCGCCCACATTTCGTTTGACACCATAACTCGTCCATTGAACATTGGATTCTTCCTCAGTATATGGTTGGGATTTAGGTGATAGTATGTCGCTTGCACTGGCGTAGCCAGCATCGATAATTGGGGGGTCCATATTCATATATTCATGTAAACAGACTGTAAAGACAATTGATTTGAAAAGAAATTAATCCTGCGTATCACGAATATATGAATATGGACCCCCCCAATTATCGTTCTGGCTACGCCGCTGGACTTGCTTGGAAATCCTTCCTAAAAACTAAACTTCCCTGTTGGTCTTTAACCTTGAGTCGCCTGTCATAATGCCTTACCACAACATTTTTCGGTTGTTCTCTGTAGCAATCCGCAAAATTCTGACCACAACCGTAACCCTATTATTCGGGGTTACAAGTTTATATTGATATGGGGAGTTGCCTGAGTGTCATGACATAATGCCTGAATAACTGGAGGGCTGTTGAGTTGATAGCTGACGAGGTTGTGATACTTGTGATTGTCCGCGTTGTGTCTGCCGTCGTTTGGGGGTAATTGATAAAAGGAGAATAGTCGACGAATAGCGCGAATAGTTGAGGAATAGTGCGAATAGTCGACGAATAGTGCGAATAGTCGACGAATAGTTGACGAATAGTGCGAATAGTCGACGAAGAGGCACCAGGGGTGCTGCTTTCTTCTCTCGTTGCTTTGGCAGAGAAAAAAATATGTCCCAAACGACGGCAGACACAACGCGGACAATCACAAGTATCACAACCTCGTCAGCTATCAACTCAACAGCCCTCCAGTTATTCAGGCATTATGTCATGACACTCAGGCAACTCCCCATATCAATATAAACTTGTAACCCCGAATAATAGGGTTACGGTTGTGGTCAGAATTTTGCGGATTGCTACAGAGAACAACCGAAAAATGTTGTGGTAAGTGGTAAGGCATTATGACAGGCGACTCAAGGTTAAAGACCAACAGGGAAGTTTAGTTTTTAGGAAGGATTTCCAAGCGACATACTATCACCTAAATCCCAACCATATACTGAGGAAGAATCCAATGTTCAATGGACGAGTTATGGTGTCAAACGAAATGTGGGCGAACTTTTCGGAAGAGACTAAAATGAATGTTCATTCCTCTGGATTGCATGTACAATTGATTTAAATTAGCTACTATTGTCTTTGTCGACTAAACACCGTTCTTGTTTATTTGTTTGAGATTTATATAGCTAACTGTTGTGTTTCTTAATGAGGTTTACCAAGTGAACTTGGAGGTTAAAAGGTATCGGAAGTTCACTGATTATCCTTGTATTTATTTTTTAAAGTATCGTTATATAACTAGTGTTTAAAGTTCAAATTTTAGTTATATCATTTCGTTGCTATATACAGTAATATGATGTTCCCTCCGGAAATAGTGAGTTTTGTTTTCCCTCAAGCCTCATTGTTTCCTTCGAATTTACGTCTGGGAAGAAACTCACTATTTACCTCGAAAGCAGACATATATCGCCGGCTACTCGCATTATTGATCACTCTTCGTCGAATATTCGCACTATTCGTCGACTATTCGCACTATTCGTCCACTATTCGCACTATTCGTCCACTATTCTCCTTTTATCAATTACCTCGTTTGGGACATATTTTTTTCTCTGCCAAAGCAACGAGAGAAGAAAGCAGCACCCCTGGTGCCTCTTCGTCGGCTATTCGCACTATTCGTCAACTATTTGTCGACTATTCGCACTATTCGTCGACTATTCGCACTATTCGTCAACTATTCGTCGACTATTCGCACTATTCGTCGACTATTCGCACTATTCCTCAACTATTCGCGCTATTCGTCGACTATTCTCCTTTTATCAATTACCCTTTAATTACACGGTTTAACCCACAAAACAAACTGTATAGCACTTCATGTCGGTAATTAGTACCATCGTGTTTTCGTATTTCCAACGCAAATCTACTTAACCAATAGTTTCTTTCATTGATAGTAATGTCTTCCAGTTTTGGAATTGTTGGAAATCGATCGTCTTCTGCTTCAAAATCGCGAAATTCAATGCCCCTCGCTTCCGACCATTTGTTGTAGCAATTTCTGCTTCACAGTGTGTGTCTTCTAGTGTTCGCTGGTACAATTCCTTCCCGTGTCTCCATGACATATTTTTCTTTAACGAAAGAAAAACGTCGCCCCGACATATACTCGCTGTCTTCTTAGGCAAATATCACTGCCAAACACATTACCACTGCAGCTTATATCTACATGCATTTACATATGCAAAACAACTCTAAAACATCGAATGACTGTAAAAGTATTCCTATTGTCTCGGTAGCCATAATATTACAAACTAATAGCATAGCGTTTCGGTCGATTAGCGATTAAATGCCATTCAAGCCTCGGCAGGTTTAGAAAAAGTAAAAGCTCTTACTAGCACGCAGCCCACAAGTTCTGCTTCTTCATTGCCGTCACTACCAAAACTACCGAAACTTGAACTTCAAAACATTAGCTGGAGGTTAACCGAGTGACGTTGCCTTTGGTATTTATATGACACTGCTATTCCTAGTTATGATGGGTTTCCACTGGCAGCTCGAAAAATGGCTGCTAAGGATATATTTATATTTTTTTTTATTTTGAAATGAGGACAGTCAAGCTTAATTTTTCTGCCAAATTTCAAAAGAAAATATATCCAAACCTTTCGCTAGCGAACGGTTTCCAGCGGCGTAGCCAGAACGATAATTGGGGGGGTTCCATATTCATATATTCGTGATACGCAGGATTAATTTCTTTTCAAATCAATTGTCTTTACAGTCTGTTTACATGAATATATGAATATGGACCCCCCAATTATCGATGCTGGCTACGCCAGTGACGGTTTCTCTGCAAATGATAATCCTCCCAAATGCTAACAATTTTATATCGAAAATAACCAAGTTCAATTACCCGCTTTCGGAATGCTGCCCGCGTGATCAAAAGGCTGACGCTTACAATATCAAAATTTAACTACGGTTAACGCTAACTACTTTTTTATTTAACTGACTTCGTAATTAAAGTTAACTAAGAGTTGCATACAACGGGCCGTGAACGATGTTTATTGATGCATGTTTTCTCTGTTGTCTTTAAAATGTCTGAATTTTATATACTATCATTCTGTTATAATTCTGGGGCCGGTTGTATGAAAGCCGGATAGCGCTATCCACCGGATAGT